CCACTCTGGGACCTCAACAAAAGAAGTCACAGCAGGCTCTCCTACAGGTCTACTGTCCACTCAACCTAGCCACTGTTCTGCTTCAACTAGCCAGTTCCTCCGTCTCCCCTCCATCCACACTGCCATTGCTACCTGAAGTACTGGCCCTGAACCTAGGTATGTTGCCACTACCATGCCCCCAGCCAGGCAGCCACATCTCTTATCCCTGCTTGTTCTTCCTTCCTTCATCACGTCATCCATCCATCCATCTACCCATACAGACTCCATCTATGACTCTCACCTGACCCAGCCCAGAGCTACCCTCCAGGGCTCAGAAACAAACAGAGGAGAAAACCTTGGGAGTGAATTCCCAACACTCAAATGCTATTGGAACATGGTAGCACCCACAAATATCAGACAGCCAAGAATCAGAAAGCCCTGCACTCATTCTAAGAGGTCTCCCTGAAGTCTGGAACACGGAACTCAAGGGGCAGAGAGGGCTACCAGGAGAGAAGAGCTGGAAGAAGGGCAGCAGGGGACAAGGAAGAAAGGAGCCAGGGTGTTGTTTCAGGGCTGTGACAGGCCAGGTAGGTAGGGGGCCTTGGTGGAGCAGGGCTGGGGAATGGTGTGACAACCCATAGCCTCAGAGAGGAAGAAACAAACACAGAAACAGCAGTCAGGAGGCAGAAAGACCATGTCCTAGAGACTTGACCAGAGCCTTTGATCCAGCAACGCCTGAAGCCAACACTACATCTGGAATTCTTAAAACTTTGAACCACTAAGTTATTTCCATCTGTGTCCTTCTTGCTTCTCTTTTCTTCTGCTCTTTTCTTCTTCTTAAAGATTTTTTTAATGTGTGCGTATGTGCAACTGCGTGAGTTTCTGTGTACCACAAGCATGCAGGAACCTACACAGGCCAGAAGGAGGTGGTGGATCCCCTGGAACTGGAGTCATAGGCAGTTGTGAGCTGTTGGGACTAATGAGTCCTGGCCTTCAGCTGCTCTTCCCTCCTAGAACCTTCTAATTAAAGTTACTAGAAGCTGTGCCTAGCTTAGAGGATCAGAGGATGGGATTTTCACCTGTTGGCCAATGACTGCAGTGTATTTAAGCCTACATGGTGCTAATAAAGAGGGGCTTTGGTATCAGTGTTAAAAGTTCTGTGTTCTCAACCTCCAGCCTCTTGCCCGAAGCTCGCAAACTGGGGTCTAGCACATAGAGCACAGACCGGGACCCGCAGTGCGCGCGGCAGTGAGCCACATGACTTGCATGCTGGGAACTGAACCGCAGACTTCTGCAAGAGCAGTGTCATGGTCCAAATAAGAATGGCGCCCATAGGCTCATGTATTTGAATGCTTGATCATCAGGGAGATGCCTGAGAATGATTAGGGGCTGTGGTCTTATGGGAGGAAGTGTATCACTGGGGGCGGGCTTTGTGGTTTCAACAGCCCCAAACCAGGCCCAGGGTCACTCTCTTTTCCTGCTGCCTGAATATCCAGATGTAGAGCTCTCAGCTCCTTCTCCAGCACCATGTCTGCCTGCATGCTGCCAGGCTACCCACCATGAAAACAATGAGCTAACCCTCTGAACTGTAAGCCAGCCCTAGCTAAACCCTCTCCTTTGTAAGAGTTGCCGTGGTCACAGCAATAGGACAGGGACCAAGACAAGCAGCAGGCACTCCTTCCCTCTGAGCCGTTGCTCCAGCCCCTATCTTTTGCTTCTAAGCCCGTTTGAGTTGGGTTTTTGTGCTTTGGAGCCGTGAGCCCTCGTAGTACCAGGTCTATGAATTCAGGCTGTAGTGTCGAGGGTAAGCAGCTTGACCTCTCCCCGCCTCATTCCCAGCCCTGAAGGTCCACCCAGACCCTGAATACAAGGGGATCCTTCCACAGGGTCTCTGAATCCCCCCAAAACCCAGACCCCACAGCTGCAGGATGAAGACATTATCACGCTTCCCTTGGCGGGGTCGGGGAGGCAGAGGACCAGCATGATCCCAACCCTGCAGGGAAGGAAGAGCAGAGACATGGAGAAAGTCCTCCGTAAGTTTCTGGGGTTTTATTCAAAACAACGCTGGCTGGCGGTACGGCTTGGTTTCTCTATGCCCGGGCCATCTGGGCCAGCAGGGACCAGCGCCTTCAGCAACTAAGAGGGAAGTTCATTCACACTGTAGAAACTGTAGAAACTGTACAGTGACCAGAAGGAAGTTAGAGTCACGGCAGCAGAGCCGGGCTGGGGGCTTGCAGGACGAGGTGGCCTCTGCCTCCCCTCGGGCCCCAACTCTGCTAGGGACACTGATTATTGCACAATGACAAAAAGAAAAAGAAGAGTATGTGTGTCTGGGTTAAACAGCAGCTTCTAAGACCCCAAGCCCTTACACAGAGTAGCAAAAGGGGCTGGAGGTGACCCTGGGAGCTGTGAGTCTAGGAGAAATATTGGGGACAAGCAGATGGGTGAGTACTGCTCACGGTTCATCCTCCTCAGCGGGACTGCCTGGACCAGAGCAGGAGATAGCAAGAAGGCAGGGCAGGCTCCGTCTGGCTCCAGATCCTTTTCTACAGATGCTGTGTGCCCTCCACCCCCACACCACACAGCCTGGCAAATTGACAGCTTCCAGGCACTGGCACCTGCGTTCCCATTCTCCTCACATCCAGGCCCATGTGGATTGGGAGAGTTTGTGCTTTGGTGATGGACAGGCTCAGCCTGAGGCCACAGCCTCAAGCCACAGTGTTGAAGAAGGGGTGCCCGCCCAATCCTTGCCCATTAACAACCCATCTTGCCAGCAGCTCACACCTTTCCTGGCCCCTGACTCCCCACTCACAGACACTAGGCCAGATACCTGGGATTGGTCCTAGGAAAAACCCACCCTGGGTAGTGTCTGTGCTTCTGGGCTCAGCAAATCATTCTCTCTAGATGCCCTGCCATACCTAGCTACAGCCCTTGCATAGACCTTGTCATTTCCCTAAAACAGCCTTCAACACATCTGCCTGCTCTGGGGTCACACAGTTCAGCGTGAAGGTATAGATGCCTGAACATCTGCACCCAGCCTCAGAGGCACGGCAGGGGGAAAGCTGGCTGTGAAGAGCCGCATAAGCACACACGCACACAGAGGCAGCCTGAAGATGACATTGTACCCAGAAAGCAGAAGGTGGAAGATGCTATCAAACACCACCGTTGTAAAGCCTGAAGACCATGGGCCTGACCCAGCCCTCTCTACCCCAGTCAACTCCACACTGGGCTCCTGGAGTCACCTTCCCTTCAACCACGGCTGTGTGTGCACAGTCCAAGTGCCCTTCACAGGTGACCCGGGATCTTTGCTGCACTCACCCAGAGCCTCAGTTTACTCATGTGTAAAGTGAGTTTAACAACCACTTTCCTCCTCCTCGCCTCTAAGCACTTGGCAGGCAGTACCCCTCAACATCCTCTCCTCTTCGCTTCCTCACAGCGCCCTGATCCCAGGGTCCCTGTGCCAGATGGGGACACCCCAGAGCCTACAAACACAGCTGCTGCTCACTAGCCTGGCTAGAAGCCCACTTCTGTGAAGTCAGAATCTGGGAGCAGGGACAAGAGATGCACATGCTCTTAGCAGGACCCACAGCAACCCTCAGCCATGTGGCTGAGCACCCCACATCACAGCCCTTGTCAGTAGGCCACCCGCAGCAGCAGGCCCCGCCCTTCTTCAGGCTGATTGTAAACCCACCCACTTAAGAGCTGAGCCTGTGAAAGTCAAGGGCTCAATACAGAGTAAGTTTTTTTTAAGATAAATGGGTAACCATTCCAATAAAAAAAAAAAAAAAAAAAACCCCTACCCATCCTGAACTCCTCCGGAAAGCACTACCACGGGAGACCCGACGTGCAGCTTGAGACAGTGAGACATACCCAAGGGTAAGCAGGAGTCGGAGGATGTGAATGTCCGGGTAACTCGGTGAAGCTAAGGGTGCTGGGGTGGGGAAAGGCTGGAGCCAGGCTTTAGGCAGGTGCTCAGAGACCCCTTTAGATTTGTTGCTACCCTAAACACTCCTGGGGCAGGGGTGGGGTTGATTAGGGCGAGTGACCGTAATCCCCAGGAGCTGCTGCAATTTGAGGCCTTCATGGAGGACAAAAAATAGAAAGTTCTCGTGTAACTGACAACCCAAGCTCGGGGAATCTTTGTGGACCAAGCCAGTCCGGGGACCCCTTCACCTGTCCTCTCTCTTGCATGAATTATTCCTGTTTACTGCCTTCCTGAGGGGCTGATTTGCCCCTCCCCACCCCAAGTACTCACAGAAGTCAAAAGTTGACCCAAATCCTGAGCCCCCTGCCCAGCTTCAGAAATGCCCTGTTCCCCAACCCTGCTCTAAGAAATAAGACTAAAATCCCCCCCCCGCCCAGTTTTTCTAAAGAGAACATCTAACTGGCTAACTAAGAAAGTCTGTGTGTCAAGAGTGTCTACAAAAGACTTCACAACAACACGACAGAGGGACAAGACTGACACCCCGACGTGTGGGTAGAGGCTGGGGATCTTAGCAGCATCTCCTCTTTAAAAGGGAAAAAAAGTGCACCCTGAATTGCTTCTCTTCTGTCTCCTGGGCCCTGAACATCCTCCCAAGCTGCTCTCAACTGAGGGAGATACCCGAAACTACAGCCACCGAAGCCACAGCAGGAGCGTCTGTGCTGTGCAGGCCTGTGTCCTAATCAACAGACGAGACCCCCATCTGGGCCCTGGCCTGCACCCTCAACTTTAGCACTTTCTGGAATTCATAAGCTCTCCGTAAAAAAAATAAATAAATATATGTCTGTCTCTATATATATATGTATATATCTGCATATACACTGGAAGGGCCACGGATGGGGCCACACATCTGAGCCTCAGCTAACCCAGACCCTCCTCAGTCGCCTGCCCAGTGGCCCGGCGCTGGCTGGCCCCTATGCCACTCCCAGGTGTGGACAAAGTATTGCTGTCTGCTCCCTGGCTCCTGAGGTAAAAGAAGGCAAGATGGGGCAGGCGGGCGGACAGCAGCTGGCAGGTCCCCCGCAGCCCCTGCGGCCCCTCATCTTTTCCTCTTGCTTGCAGCATCGGTTGACTCCAGCTTCCCAGGAGGTGGCTGTGGCTCAGGTGCTGAGGAACCCAAGCCTGAGGCCAGCTGGGCCTGACCTGGTGGGTCCTTGCTGCGGTCTGCAGCCCATGATGGGCTCCTGGCCAGGCCGCGGGCTGAGACTGTGGTGCCAGGACGGCCAGGTCCAGCAGCTAGGCTGCTGGTACTGCTGAACTTCCTGGCGGGGGTGAGGCCCGGGGGTGGCAGCGTGGGTGGTGGACAGAAGAGAGACGTGAGCGACAGGCTGCTGAGGGTCTCGGAGTGCTCACTGCCTGCACCCCCACCGCTTGCACCCCCGCGGCCCTCCTCATCAGAGGGGTCCATGGAGTCGTGGTGGGTGCACCCAGGACTGGTGGAGCCCCCGCTGCTGTGGCTGCGCTGATGGGCTCTCAACCCACGCAGACTAAACAAGCCACGGCCCCTTAGGCTGAGGCGGCGCCGGGTGGCCGGTGACAGGCCAGCACATGGCCCTGGCACCTGGACCGGCGGTCCCAGGGCATGCCGGGGACTGTCACTCAGTGTCAGACTGTCCTCCAATGTGGTCTGCAGGCTGCCCGCTGAGCTGCTAGGGCTGGCATCCAGTGATGTGTCACTGACAGTAGCCTGCAAGGAGGTAAGAAGGGATGAGGCTCCCTGAATCATCTTCCCCTGGTCCTTAGTGGACAGTCTGATGATGGGGACCCAGGATGCTTCCCTTCTCAACATATCCAGGATCCCACCGCATCCCTTCTGCCATGTCACCCGTCCCTGGGACCTCTCAGGGCAGTTACAGCGAATGTCAAACAGGCTCTCTGTCCCCTCGGGGCAGCCTGAGCCATCTTTCCTAGTCCCAGTGTCCAGTGACAAGACCTTCCCTGGTATAGTTCCCAGCTGACTCGCAGCCACCCACATCTCCAGCATCACTTCCGCCACCTGTCCCTTCTTCACAAGCCCTTCCACCAGCTCCCCCATGGCCCTGCTCGTACCAGCTGCTCCATCCTCTCTCCTAGGTAAGCCTCCAGCCTTTGCTCGCTCTCCCAGCCACCCCTCACCTCCCCACAGATTATACTCCAGCACTCATTTGCTCTGCACACACACACACACACACAATACACACACACATACACACACACACACACACACACACACTTTAAACCCTGAACTGCTTGGGAGGCAAGAAGTCGGTCCATTGCCTGCTGCAGAGCACAGCCTGGTGAAACTGGAGATTAACCGTGTCTCACTAAGTGATTATTAGGAAGCCTGCAGGCCAACCTCTACTATTGTATGGGATCACACATGGCCCACCAAATGTGCTGGTGGATTTTTGTTTCGTGCTCCAGAGGCCCTCTGTGCCCAGCTGGCATGTGGGCTGTGGCTCCAGCCATCCTGATACAGACGACCATACAGCCAAGACTTCCCACTTCCCAACCTGCCCGTCTGCAGTCAAGCAATTTACAGTCTACAAGCAGTCTAGCAATGACACCCCTACCACTCACCAAGAGCACTCAAAGCATGGTCCCTGACCCCAGCACTGTGTCACCCCACAAAGCCCCCTCAATGCCATTCTTTCCCCTCATCGCGAGCTAGGACCCCTGTTTCAGTCATCTCAACAACCTTGGGGCTCCTCAGGAGCTGGTCTTACTCATACACATCTTTGGTGTCACCTCTCAAGTCTCAGAGGTTCCCCAACTTTCCCAGACTCAGCTGCCGTGGCTTTTTTTTTCTGTTCTTTCCCTTCCCCTCCCCACGCATCACCCGTGGCTCTTCAGAGTCCAGGAGGTGCCTGTACCTGACGCAAGAGGGTGCAATTGACACTCGGAGACCTCAGGGATGCCCAGGAGCCCTGAAGGGCGATCTTGGGCAGGGTCCCTGTACTCATGCCCGGTTCCTGTCCCTTCTGGCTGGCAGACACAGCAGGGTGGAAGAACTCAGCAGGCATCTGCAGGAGAGGGCTGGAGGCATCCGGGGAGAAGGGACTCGATGCTGCAGGGAAGGAAGTGGAGGTGCTGGGAACAGCCCAGGAGGCAGGCATAGAGCACCAGCTCTCACGTGAGCAACTCAACAACGACTGTGAGAAGACTCTGGGCAAGTCTCCAACTCAAAGCCTCGGTTTCACTCTGAGCATGTCTGTGAAGAAGTGTCTAGATTGGGTTGAGGTGACAAGACCCACCCTCACTGTGGGTGGTGCCATCCCACAGGCTGGGGTCCTGGGATGAACGCAAGGGAGAAAGTGAGCTGAGCACCAGCATCCATCTCTCGCTCTGCTTCCTGCCTGTGGAAGCCATGTGACCTGCTGCCTGTTCCTGCTGTCGTGCCTTCCCCGCCATGACGGACTGGACCCTTGAACTATGGGCCAAAATAAGCACTTCCTTAAGTTGATTTCACCAGGCACCTGGTCACAGCAGTGAGAACAGACACAAGAGGAGGGACGTGGGGAATATCAGCAGGTATGGAACACCTGGCCCAGCACCATGCACATAGTAGGTATTCAATCACTGAAACTCATTATCCTTTGGACCCTGACAACTCCACATGGCTAAGTCAAGCCTGGGGCCTCCTCCTGGACAACGCAGGGTCGAGTCTCAGGTCTATGCCAGGCCCTGTGTTGATGGTATAGAAGCTGCTGGGTGGGCCTGTTCTGCTCCACTGTGGATAGAAAGGGACAAGGCCAGGTTGGAGGAGCCTGAGGCAAGGCAGACGTTTGTATGCCAGCTCCAGCAGCTCCGCCTACAGTCCCCTCTGAACCTCACAAAATGAAGGAAGAATGTGAGGTTCAGAATATGTGACTAGTCACCAGGCAGCTGTATAGGCTGTGTCCTGGTAGGTTGCCGACTCACTGAAGGAATGTTCAAATAAACAGTTAACTGAACACTCCATCAGAACAAGCCTGGGGGCAGACCAAGGGCTCAGGTTTTGAGATCAGGGAATTTGGGGTTCTGGCACCCCAGCCATCATGCCCAGTAGAAGTCACTGGCTTTACAGAGGGTCCATGGAAAAGCCGGTCACCCAGCCATCCCAGAAGACATCTTGGGGTGAGTTTGGGGTGTGAGGGGGTCACTCTTGTGTTAGACTGTCTCCCCTTCCCCCCACCCAACCCGTGATGCCACCCAGATCCTTGTCATCTTCCAAGAGGGAGGCACAAGTGACAGGCAAGCCAGCTCAGTCCCTTGCTATATCTCAAGACACAAACCAGCTGTGAAAGGAGGTTTGGGGTAGAATTCTTTATCAAAGGGCCATTGAAAACACCAGGCTTCTGGTCATTGTGTCCCCCTCAGATTATTCTCTATTCCACCTCAATAATCTGTGAGCCTTCCTTCTGCTTGATAATAAAAGCTGTGGGCAGCAACCTGGCTCCCTTTTCATCACTGAACACAGGAAATTCAGCGTGTCGCTTCCTTCAGGCCAGGCTTCAGCTAGCATTAGCTCATCGACCGCTCCTTTGCTACCAGTGTAGCAGGCCTGAGTCTCTAATTCTCAGAACCCCACTCGCTTCTTTATGGTGTGGGGAACCTCTACCGCCTCCCTCATGCAGCAGATGCTTAGGATCAGGGTGTGGGGAGCTGGCAGGGCTGAAACCCTCACCTTGGCTGCTCTCGTGTTTGAGCCAGGACTGGACGGGATTGAACGGGATGGCCTCCATCTCACACTGCAGGCTCTCTGGGCCTGCAGACACTGGCGCACTGGCAAAGGGGAAAAAGCATTCATCCAGATCTCCTGCCTGCAAGGGCTCCTCCGGAGGCTCTAGCTCACCCTGCAGGCAAGGGAGGTAGGTGGTATTGAGGGAGACAGAGGCAGGGTTCCTATATAGCTATCCCCATCCCTACCTCGGAAGCCCTTCCTCTCGCCTCCTCCACCTGACCAGCAGTCACCACCTTCCAGTCCTCAAGTGGAAGGTCCTGACCTCTAGGAAGCCCTCTTGGATGCTCCTGGGCAGCTGTGGTTCCCCTGGCTTCTCCCTTCCTGACTCTAATGGCCTTGAGACAGCATGGGCTCTTCTTCACACCTATAACCAAATGCTAACTCAATGTAGTGGTCGCTCAGGCTGAAGGCATCGGAGCAGAACATTACATGAACCCCTGCCTTTGCCAGAACTCAGTTTCCACATTCATACTTAGGGAGAGGAGTTCATTTCTGGCTGCTGCCCGGGGTCTTGTACATGGAGCAGAGGGTTGTAGCGTCTCTTTGCCGACTTTCTCAGCTCTGCAAGTTCCTTGAGAGCCACCCAAAGTCTACTCTGAGGCGGATGGGCTCCCGCTATCCCAGCCTGAAACTTGCTGCTGTGTCTGACAGAAGGTGTGGCCTCAGTTACCTAGACTGTACCCACCTGAGCCCAACCTGGCCAGATAAACTGGCATCGCACATGGAGAAAAATGTAAGGAACTCCTGGCCACCTACCTTGCTCTCCTTGGGGCCCTGTGGGCAGGCTGTGGGGTCCTCAAGACTCAGGTCATCCCCCAGCAGGATGGACGAGGACCTGTCTGAGTTCAGGGAGAAGGCCTCTGTCTCAGCCAGCTGCACCTGCAGGGGGAGGTGGTGGCCTCGGGTCACCCTGGGGCTGGAATGGGGCAGCCTGGGCCTGGAGCGCTGAGCAACAGGTCCCTGAAAGGACATGGGGCAGTGGTCAGAGTGGTTCGCAGGCCTGCTGGGCATGGATGGTGGGCACACTCTGTGTAGGATCCCAGCCTGGGGGACACATGATGGCACAGGGGCCACTCCCAATAGAAACCAGGTCTGAGTGGCCCACCTTGGTGTCTGAACACAAAAGAAGACACGGTACAGCGAGCTACGGAGCTCTGTTGTCCACTTGCCCCAGACCAAGAGTCCTTAGAGCTGGGCTGGGCATGGCTTCTCTGAGGGCTGTGAGGGCTACTTCTACTGCATGTCCCTGCAAGACTGGCTAGACTGACATGGGGCAGGAAAGTTGAGTAACCTCCATGTTCAGCTCCTGCCCAAGGCTCTTGGGGATGACCCCACAGCCCTAATCCTATAGAACAGCATGGGCTGAGCCCCGGAGCACCGTGTGGAGGATGGGGTATATAGGAGGAGCTCTTGGGAATAGCCTGCCTGAGAGATGGCGCCTGAGCAGGGTGGGGATGAGCTGCCTCTGAGAGGAGGCCCAAGAGAAGTATTGAGACACTCAGGGGGACCACAGTCACTAGGGAAGAAGAGGCACCAGGGACCCTTTCTTGGATCACAGAGGACAAAATGCCCCAGAGGGGACACAAGGACGAGCAGCTTCTGAACACTTTTTATATCCAGGTGCTGAGGTGGGCTCTCTAGGCGACACCACAGGGCCACACTTCACAGACAAACCACTATGACCAGTGGGACCAGCATGTTGCTAGGGGCCTAGAGCCACAACGTCCCTCAACACCTCACTCCCAGGTGACTCCCGGGAGCCAGCTCCTCTGAGGCTGCCAGTACCTCTTGCTTGTCATGGTGACACTTGTCACAGCCAGCAGGTGAGGAGTAGTGGTGGAAGATGGAGCCAGACAGGTTGTCAATGATGGTCAGCTCCCCCTCCAAGGAGTCCTTGATGATTAAAGAGACGCTGTCCAGCCACAGGGTCTCCTAGGCGGACGGGGCAGGGTGGCGACAGGTGGGATTATCGGCTGGGTCCCTGGACTTTGGGGTGGGTATGGCAGAGCTGCCCTCCCGTTCTCTGTGCCCACAGCCTGGGATCACCCTATCTTAGAGCTGAACACAGAGGGACCCCAAAAGATAGGGCACCTCCAAGCCCAGCTGCCCAGCTGGCCCCGTGGCGCCTGCCCTTTGAGCCCCATTCACCTCTCAGCCCCTGCCCACCTGGGCTGGAGAGTAGCAGTGCCGGCACAGGTGACCCTCGGTGTCACCCCCAACGCCCGGCCCTCCTGATCCACGACTGGGGGCTCCTGGTGAGTTAGTGGGCAGCCTCGGGCCAGGACAGGGACACGGGCCGGGGCTAGGGCCAGGGCCCAGGCCATGGGCCATCTCCAGCTCGATTTCAGCATCCATCTCCGCGTCCTCCTGGGCCTCCTTGTTGCTATCGTCCAGGTGTTTCATGAGCACAGCAACCACCACGTTGATGAGCACGAACTGAGCCGTGAGCACAAAGCTCACAAAGTACAGCGGCGACACGAACTGCAGGCTGCTGAGGCAGCTGCGCTCATCATGGGTGCAGTCTCGCAGAGTGTCCTACCACAGGGATGCCACACGCAGGGTCAATGCCATCCACCACACCTGCCCTGCCACACACTCCACCTCCATAGCACAGAGGACACACATGCACGCACGCATGCCTGCACGCACACACACATACACACATGCACGCGCACACGCACTCACGCACACCAAGGGGCCTAGATTAATCCCCCTCCAGAGTTCTAGTAGCCTTCATTGCCTTCATACCCATAGTAGCCTGAGCTTCCCTTAGCTTCAGCCAAGTCCCTAGGGCCCTAACCTGGCCCTTTTCATGCCCTACTGGGGCTGATCCCACCTCTCAGAGCCCCTAGCAAATCTGCGAAGAAGCATGCTTTCTCAGGCACCCATTGTTGCTTTTCAGGCCAGCCCAGGAAGGTCCTGCCTGACCTGAACAGGACTCTCTGGAGTCAGGGAGGTTCTGGACGTCTCTGGTCCCTGACTCTCCTCCTGTGCACAGTAGGATGATGGGTGTGCATACTGGGTATGTCTGGATCAGTCATACCACCATGCATCCAGGACTTGAAATTACCTGACCGCCCCCCCCAAAGCTGGCCCATGAATACCTTCATGATTCCATTCCAGTTATCGCCCGTGGAGACCTGGAAGAGCGTCAGGAAGGCCATGCCGAAGTTCTCGAAGGTAGCGTGCCGGCTCATGCCCTCACATGGGTTCTCATCGTTGCAGACTGAGAGGGAGAGGTGGTCAGCTTGTCCACCAACAGTACCCCAAGCCGCCACCCCTCAGCATCCTCTCAAAATATCCCCTGCAACCATGTGCATGTGGACTGTGCCCAGCCTACGGATGGGACAACTGAGGCTCAAGGAAGTGGTGCGCTGGCTGGGGGCTCAGTCTTAGGAGCAGGTGGCTCTTCTATCCAATAGTCAGCTCCTGAGAGAGGTAGTGGGGTGAGGTGAGGGTCAGCCCCTCAGGGAGCCCTGATTTCTGGAACTGACTTGATATGCAGGACTGGGCTATGTTATTGGGGTAGCCCTGGTTCAGGACAGGCAGTGGCTGGGAGCAGAGGATGGAGGCTCCCCCAGAACTCCACCACACAGGTCTGATGAACGCTCATGAGCCAGGCCTCAGCAAATACCCCATGCTAAGAGCGGGTTTGATGAGAATCCTGCTACTGAAGCATCTCCCCCGCACAAGGGCCTTGGGTGGCAGGCTGAGGAGCCCGGCCTAGGCATCACTCACCCAGCTTCCCAAAGAGCTCCACTCCCAAGGCGGCATAGATGAAGAAGAGGAGCATGAAGAGGAGGCCCAGGTTGCCCACCTGTGGGGAGAGATGGCTGGACTGGGGCCAGAGGCCTAGGGGCATCCAAGGGGAGAAGGGGGAGGCTTGGGGGGAGAACAGGGAGTAGGGAAGAGGAGTCCTAGGTCTGGAGGAGGGCAGGGAAGGTAGGGGATGCCTGGAGCAGGGGGGTAGAAGTGAAGGACCTCGGGTCAGGGTGACAGAGGCAGGGCCAGGCTCAGGGCAGCTGTATTGTTACACCGGGCTGAGTATCCATGTCTGCTGTCTCCTTGTAACCTCCTGAAGGGCAAGACTAATGAATCATAGGTTACCGAACAAGAACTGAATGTTTAAAGTCTTTGCCGTGAGGATATCACTTGTTCCAGAAACCTATGAGGGAGTCGGGATGACTCAGTGGGTGAAGTGTGCAAGCAAGGGGACCTGGCTGCAGTCAGCAGCCACGCAGAAGCTGGGCACAGCGGTGTGCATCTGCCCGGCTGATGACAGAGACCGGCAGGAGTCTCTGGGGTTCATGGACCAGGTATTCATGAGCTCCAGGCTCAGGAAGAGAGCCTGCCTTGAAAGAAAAAGAAGGAGGGAGGGAGGGAGGGAGGGAGGGAGGGAGGGAGGGAGGGAAGGAAGAAAGGAAGGAAGGAAGGAAGGAAAAGAGAGAGAGGAAAAAAGAAAGAAGAGGAAGAAAGGAAGGATGAGAAAAAAGAAAGAAAGAAAGAAAGAAAGATAGAAAAATAACAGAAGATACTAGATGCTACACCCTCACACACATGTGTATACACACACATACACCATCCACCCACCCTCAAATGAATCTACATGTCATCTCAAGTGAAAATGAGACAGCTGAAGGACCTGTTTAATCACATGGATCTCAAATAATGGGTCAGAGATTCAAGTCCTTTGTTAGCCTGGGAAAAACTGGATGAAGTCAGACTTGCCTCCACAGGCCAGCACAAGGCTGGTCACGAAAAGGAATTAGGAGAGAAATCACACACAGCCGTGGTCCCAGGAGCCTCCTGCAAATGTAGCCACCCCTGTCCCATGGCTCCTACAGAACAGAATGCCCCAGATTCTGAGCCTGGTTCAAACCCACATGTCAGTGGGAGACTGCCTTTACCTCGCGCTACAGATGAGCCAAAAGGCATTCCTGCCCTACAAAGAAAATCCCTCCTGGTCCTCCAAAGGCTCCTGTAAATTGAGCCAGGCGATGGTTGAGGTAATCACTATAAAGTAAACCCCTGTGGATCACAGACCGCTCTAGAGGAGGCCTTCCTTCCCGGCCACTCCACAAGGAGCGCAGACTAATTAATAACATCCTTCTCATTAAGGACGCAAGCACTTAGTGGACACTGCAAGCCACAGTGTGTGGCCCTGACAGCCAAGGAAGACTCCGTCTCACCAAGGCCCGCAGAGCTCATCTTCTGCCCTGCTCGGACTTGGCTGGTGGTGTTTCCTAACCAGGAGCGGGTCCTCCTCATTCCCATCAGTCCCCTACCTTCACCCCCGGGCCCTCGGGGTCTGAGAGCTCCAGCAGCCTCCTCATCTACCTCCTTGCCTCCAGCCTTTCCTCCAGTCCCCTCACAGAGGCAGCTCTGCTTGAAGCCCCCTTGCCCAGATACTCCTATGGTCAGAGTCCACAGCACAATGCCCCCATGTGTTTTGTCTCAGAGCCAAAGACCTGCTATGGCATCCCCCGCCCACGCCCTTCCCAGGATGATCCCCCTGCTTCTTGATCCTAACCATGTGGAAATGGACGGCTGGGGTCTCTATGCGCCATGTTCTGCTGCAGGGGAGATGCTTCGCCCCTCATCCTCATCTCTCAAAGCCCAGTCCAAGTCACCAGTTTGAGCAGAAATGATGCTCAGACTTCGGGATACCTGCAGAATTTGTAGCAGCCGTATCCTGGAGTATGGACTGAGGATAATCCACCAGGACTGGCCATCCACTGAGCACCAATTATCATCCAGTTACTAAGTGCTACTGCCCAGTATGGGTCAAAAAGTACCCTGTGAACCAGGAAACCAAACGGGGTTGTTAAACTCAATGCCTGGCTAGAGAAAGCAGGGATCCTCATCCCCTGCCATTCCCCTTGGAACACTCCCTGCTCCAGGTCCAAAACCAGGCACTAGGGACTACAGAACTATGAAGGATCCCAGAGAGATAAACAAAAGAGTGGATACAGCCCAACCCATGGTTCCCGACCCTACACCCTCCTGAGTCCCCTGCCAACAGAAAAACAAGGATGTGTTGTTCTGGGCTTAAAAGATGCCTTCTTTTGCCTCATTTTGACACCTATATGCCAGTCCATTGTTGTCTTTGAATTAACTAATCCTGAGAGAGGGTTTACAGCCAATTGACCTGGACTAGGCTGTCCTGAAGGTTCAAAACTTCTCCCACACTCTTCAATCAGGCCTTAAGTGAAGAACTCCTTTTTGGCAGAGGGTTCCAAAGAGCACCCTGTTATAGTATGTGGATGACCTCTTGATGGCCTCAGAAACAGGAAAGATATAGGAAGGCCAGTGGGGGCCTGATAGGGACAATAAGGTTCCCAGGATACTGGCTCTCAGCCAAGAAGGCCCGATTATGTGCGCCCACCCCAGGTCACCTATGGAGGGTACAAGTTGGGAGGAGGCAAATGAGCACTTTCCCAGAGCCACATCTACTATTCACACACAGACACACACAGACACACACAGACAGACACACACACACACACACACACACACACACACACCTTAAACAAAGAAACAAGTGCAGGAATTTCTGAAAAGGTCAGGTACTGCGGCTTGTGGATACCCGAGATCTTGAAGGTACCTAAGTCACTGTGTACCAGTACCGCTGTGGTGGCACCCAGTCACTACAATGGACTGATCTTGAATGAGGAGCTTCTGAGGCCTTGAAGAAGACCCTCATTTCTGCACCAACCTCGCCCTTGTGGATGTCTCTAAGTCCTTCTACTTGTATGTGAATGAGGCCTAGGCACTTGGACCCTGGAAGAAGTCAGCAGCCTACCTATCCAAAAGACTGGATCCTGTTTCTGCCTGTCGGCCAGTTTGTGAGCAATTGTCTCTACAGCCATGTTAGTGGCCGACAAGCTGAACTTGGGCCAGGAACTGTTCCTAACCACCCTGTTGCTCTGCAGAGGCCTTGCTGAAGGGGAATCCCCAAAGGGTGGATTCCGATACCCCAATAATGCCCTATCAGGCAGTTCTGAACCAGCCCCATATCAGATTCTGTAAGTCATCAGCCTTGCCTGCCTGTTGCCAGGTGATAACCCAACAGAACCCCTCCATGACTGCCTGGAAGTGACTGAGGAGATCCAATCTGCCACACCTGATCTACCAGATGTCCCACTGAGAGAAGCCAGAGAAGTAATGTACCCTGATGGAAGCAGTTTTGTTCAAGACAGAATCATGTATGCTGGGATGCAGTTGTCACCTTGGACAGGATGGTGTTGAGGGACCTCAGCACAAAGGGCTCAGCTTCTGGCATTAACTACACTGGGGGAAGGACAAAACCATCATTTATCACAGTCCTTGCCCATGAGACCCCTCAATCAAGAAAGGGGACTCCTCACCTTGACTGGAAAGGAAATAAAACAAAAAAAAACAAAAAAATCCTGGCTCTCCTAGAAGCCTTATGGCTTCCAAAACCAAGTAGCCATTGTCCACCATGACAGGCATCAAAAAGGGGATTCCCTAAAGGCCCAAGGGAACCAGTGTTGTCCCATGACTTCACCAAAACCCAGTTGAGGCTACAGAGGACAAAGATGGATGGGCTGTCACCATGTCCTCCAACCCAGTAAAGATAAGACTGGCACAGGCCTTAAGACTATGATTGTCCTATTTTGTCTTCTTTGTGTCCCTGTGGAAAATCTTCAAAATCCCCAAGAGCCAGGACCTTGCTTGAGAGAACTAAGAAAGAACAGAACTGGAGAGCTGACAGCCAGTCGATATATACGCTGAGATCAACCCACCTTCCAGGTGGGTTTCTGTAAAATAGGACATCCAGAGGCAACTAGGAGAACAGGCTGCAAAGAAGTATGCTCCTGGGGTTGGGGGTCCACTTTTGAGGAGATGGGGCTCCAATCTACCCAACTATGCCTGCTCTACTGACGGCCCCCCAAACTGCCAAGAGCCAGGGGAATGCCATTGTGCTCAGTGGGGTTGTGGACCCAAGTCCTCCTAAGGGCACACTGACCCTTTCATGGTCCTAAAAAGAAAATCATCATGGTCTGCCTGTAATTTCACAAGTCTTGGGCAATGCAATCCCATATCCATAAAGATAAGGGCCTGGCAGAAAACTGAAGGTCATTATTGGGAAACTGGCAGAATCCGCGGACTCAAGTTGTATGTGAGGGGTCAAGACCCAGGCAGCAAATTTACTATCCAAAGAGAACCTCCACCTAGGGTCATCTGGCCCATGTTCCCCAAACTGGCCCATCTTGGTACCCCTGGAATATGAGATCCCTAAGGTGGCAAGCCCCAAAATTTCAATAGCTGCAGGAATTCCTTCAGTGATCATGGAGGGTAAAGGTCCAGGAAGCAGCAGAAGCCAGCCCCTCAGTGTTTGGGATGCTAGAGGGAGTGTATTGGTTCCAGAGCCATTCTCAACACGACAGGTGATGTCTGCTGGCTACCTCTGCATCCCAAACCCCGTAGTATGGGATAGGAACTAGTCAAACAGTGTGCTCTACTTCCATTCCTGAAAACTGTAAATGGGACCAACCTAAGCTCATCCTGGGAGACCACCAAGAAAAGACTGCTCAATGGCACTAAGATGCCCCCTAGGTAACTCCCCCTTTGCAGATTCCTGTAGCCATACATGGTAGGTTAACTCCAAGAACAGCAAGCAAGTGTATTTCCAGGCCCCAACCCCTACTTGGCTTGCACGCATGAACAGCTTAACCAAGTGTGTATCTTCTGAACGGTTTGCACTGGAGGAGACCCTACTCCTTGAGTCCTTATGTGTGCCATTCCATCTCATCTGTGATGAAGGACTGGGCAGGGCTGACTTAAATCTAGACGGTGGGCTGCCCTGTGTGTGGCAAGCCATTCCCATTTTCATTCCCCTATTGGTGGAGGAATGCAATCACAGGCTCCGCTGAAGCTGGAACTTCAGCCTTAATTGCAGGGAATAAAAACTTTAAGGAACTCGGCACTCAAGTGAGTGAGACCTAGGCCATCTGGGAAACTCTGGTCCCCATCTGGAAACTCAGGTGGATTCCTTAGCGGAGGTTGTACTCCAAAACAAGGAGGTCTCTGCAGGGTACCAGGAGAAACCTGCTGCTTCTGTGCCAACCAGTCAGGGTGATTAGAGAGAGTTTAGCCATGGTCAGACATAACACTGAAGAAAGAGAAAAAGACACCAAGGATCTGACAACTGGCATCAGTCCTCGTTCTTCTGGTCCCCTGGTTAACCACTCCACTTAAGGCCGTTGCTGGGCCAGCAATCCTGTCGTCCTTAGTCCGCACTGGAGGACCCTGCTTGCTCAACTGTCTACTCAACTATATAAAGCAAAGAATAAATCCTTTCAAATTCTTAGCGCTAAGGGGACAATGTAACCCCTTGCCCCAAGATGACACCAGTTTGACTCATGCCCATAGAACCAGTAGGGAATGTAACAGACCTTGGCACACTGAGACCATGTTATAGGCACCATCCTGACCTTAAACCCAGCACATAGGCCGCAGCACCTGCCAACATGGGAGCAAAGTCCTAATCCATCAAAGACCTGATCCATAGCTCTAAGGAAGTCTCTAACTGCACAAATCTTGCTTTCTTTTTTCTTCTGAGCTACACTTCTTGCTAACTGAAGTGTGCCAACCAGAATGTGCTTTATCTGCATAAAAATCCAAGAGCTGCCAGGTAGCAACTCTTTTAAACCCGGTCCTTCAGGAGGCAGAGACAGGCAGATCTCTGTGAGTTTGAGGCCAGTCTGGTCTGCAGAGCAAGTTCCAGGCCAGACAGGGCTGTTACACAGAGAAACCCTGTCTTGAAAAAACAAAATCAAAAATACAAGAGCTTAGGGTTGCACGATTTGGGTGAGTTCCCCATGCATCGCTGGAAGGCGATAAGGACTTTATATTTCCAGCTTTAAGAGTGCCTGTGGTGGTCTCTGGTGGGCTTACCTGTGACACTGGTAAGCTCACACCAAACTCAAGAACGGTTCTCAAGACATAAAGCTCCCTATGGGCATCATAATGAGTGATGTGTGCATTGTGTGTGCAAGGGTCAGCTCAGCACAGGCACTCATGTGCAAGGGTCAGCTCAGCACAGGCACTCGTGTGCAAGGGTCAGCTCAGCACAGGCACTTGTGTGCAAGGGGTCAGCTCAGCACAGGCACTTGTGTGCAAGGGTCAGCTCAGCACAGGCACTTGTGTGCAAGGGTCAGCTCAGCACAGGCACTCGGCACGAGTGTACGCAGTGGGAGGGGACTATAGCTGCCCAAGCACAGTGGAGAGAAGACAAATGCCCCGCTCTGTGAGCCAGATCCCAGCTCACCTTCCTCTGGACAGGGACATGGTCCTCTCACTCAGCCTGGGGCTTGTGCCTCTGCCCCTAGAAGGCTGTGTGGGGACCTCACTGTCCATTAAATGACATCTTCCCATAAAGCCACTTTTCTAGGCCCAGATCCAAAGTTACATTCCCTGATTTCCTAGGGAGTAACCTGTGCCTCCTCCCTCCTGGGAGCAGAACACAGGTCTCTTCCCATAGACCCTGTCTAGCTCCCCCACAAACCTAGGGGCTCCTAAAAAGTACTGAAGAGAGCCTCAGAGTCCTCATAAGGCTGGACATGGAGTAGATGCTGGTAACCATGTTATGAGTTACCAAAGAGAAGCTCAAATAACTTACCAGGGAGCAGACTCTGCCCTGGGTCTTGGCAGGACTGGAGAGGAGGAAAATCGAAGCCCGCATCCCTCCAGGCCCAGTCCCACACAAACCCTCGATCTTAGGGCAGGGTTCCAGGAGGGTGTGGCTCTTACCTGGGGCAGAGCCTGTACCACTGTGTCCAGTAGGGCCCGCATTCCTGTGGCCATCTTCAACAGCTTCAACACTGTGGGTGACATTCAGCCCTGACTGTTAGTTCAGGCTATGAGTGTGTACACGCAATTGTGTACATGCAAGTGTGTGAACTCGGGGAAGAGAGGGGACACAGGGCAGCATGTGACCAGGGCACCACAAAGGTGCCTCTTGGGCACCACACAGGAATATGGCTGCAGGGTCTGGAGGGATGGCCTAGTGGTTCAGAGCACTGGTTGCTCTTCCAGAGGTCCTGAGTTCAATTCCCAGCACCCACATGGTGGCTCACAGTTGTCTACAACTGTAGTCCCATGGGATCCAATGCCCTCTTCTGGTGTGTAAATGTATACGTAGACAAAATACTCATTTACACAAAGTACACAGATAAATATTTTTAAATAGTTTTTTAAAACTATTTTAAAATTTATTTTAAAATATTTTTTAAAAGCTACAGCTGCAGAGTGAGGGGTTTATGAACAAAACAGAACACAAAATGGGTACAGAGAAGTTCAAGACCACAACACGGACAGTAGAGTGAGGGGCACACAGGTATGTGGATGGACGAGCCAGTCAAAGATGGCTGACACAGGGGTCCACATCCCTTCTTGTCCCTTCAGGCTAAAAGGGACTCTGGTGTCACCCACAGAGTTTCTGCACATCTCTCTCTCTTTAGAACGTGAAGGCAATGGGCAGGAGGTGGGCAGAGGATCAAGAAGCACCCAGCCATCGCTGTGGCAATAAGACTTTGAAAAAGTAGGGAAAATTTGGGGATGAGAGAAGGGATTCTGGGGAGAAAAAGAGGATTACAAGACACGTTGAGGGCTGTGCCCTGCTATGGTGCTGGAGAAGTGCCAGGTAGCACACGAACCTGGAACTGAGTCCTCGTGGTACAGCCTGAGACTCGACCACCCAGATTATGTTACCACGAGGAAGCAGAGGTGCACACAAGTATGGGGGTGGGCAGCTCAGTGTGCAGGAGGCTGTGCACATATATGGGTGACATGGGGGCTTCTTTTGGATCCTGCTCTGCCCTACTCAGCAGAGAGCCCCTCTTGCTCACATGCTCTGTCTCTCACCCCACTCCTACAGGCTCTCCCCTAGGCAATGGGGAGTCCCCTTCCTGACCCAGCTTGTCTCTGTCCTGTCCTGTCTCCTACTTACCCCGGGCGATGCGCAGAACACGCATGATACGGATGATGGTGGGGTTGATGGGCAGAGCTGCATTGATCTCAATCTCCTCCAGTGTAATGCCCATGACGGACAGTAGCACAATGGCCAGGTCCAGCTGGTTCCATCTGTACAGCAGGGCAGTGGGAGGAAAGCACAGTGGCTCAGGCACCAGTGAGTGCAGGGTCTTCTCCCAGCACTTCACACTCCTGTGGGGCCTACTACAATGTGTGAATACCCTAGCTTCTACCCATCCTCTGTGGTACCAATGAGTCTGCCTCCCCCCACCTCCCACACGTGCTTCTTTTCCTTCCTAAACAGGGAGTTGCCTGAGCTGAAGAAACATCTCTGTCCTATTATAGGGAGGAGGCATGGACTCTAACTTCTAAGTCTAAATCCTAAAATATCTAAATATCCTCAACTGCCTTCAGGTAGCATTTGACCAGTCTGTTGAGCTCTCTGAGCCTCAGCTGCTTCCTCTGAAAAGTTAGTATGAGGCAGACCATTCTCTATCTTCAGGTTACAGAAGGCCCACAGGAGATGAACTGAGACAACCTGCGTCCATCCAATGAGATTTAATTGCTTCCTGTCCAGGGATCTAGTCAGCAACTAGGAGTCTGTGACCATAAATAGACAAATGTTACTGGCTCCTTCAGGTTGTTTCAAAGATCTGGACTTCTTCCTGACCCTGCTTTGCCCTAGTATGGCTCAGCCACTCACCGGTCCTTGAAGAAACGCCTTAGGCCAAATGCCACCAGCTTCAGCACAGCCTCCAGCACAAAGACAGTGGTAAACATGTAGTTGCAGTACTTGAGGGCTGTCTCCAGGGACTATGGGAAAAAGAGAAGCATGGTCCAGGATTATGATCTGCCCCAGTACTTTTCTACAATCAAAGAGTCTCTGTCTTTTAAATGGATAGTTTAGTCTATTTACATTTAATATAATACTTTGTTCCTTTTTATTTATTTATATTCTTTTCCATCCCTTATGTCTTTATGTGTGATATTCATTTCACATTGTTATCTCCTTATTTGTGCTGGCCTGACCCAGTTGCTTCTCTTTGGAGACAGTATGGGATAGTGGTTAAGGATCCCCAAACCAGACTGCATAAATTTGAATACAGGCTTAGCACTTGTTCCTTATTTAATCTGTGACCTGGGAAAGTGCTTGACCTCTCTGGCACTTAGTTTTTTCAATTAAAAATTTAGAAAATAATCCCAGTTGCCTGTCAGAAAGCTCCTATGATGATTAAATGAGCTAGCAATTCAGTGTTGGGCACAGGACAAATGATTGGTTGTTGTAAACTAAAATAATCCCATTTCTTCACATTAATTTGGAAATTCTATAATTACTGTTCACTCTGCCATGGTTCCCTTCCTTTTGACTTCATAACAGTCTTCTCTGTCCACTAAAATACGATGCTAATTCTTCACTTGGAGACTTGGCTCCACCTTTCCTGCCAACTCTGCCAAGTGGAGCCTTTTAGAAAGCTCCTTCCCCTTAAACTCTTCTCAGGAATACTGTTTGACCCCAAGGATGCTTGCCATGGACCTGCCCCCAGAAAGTCAATCCCTAGACCCAGGATACTCAGGGGGCAGGGGAGAACCCAGTAGACTTTGAACACAATCTAAGTTCCAATTCTATCTCTGCTATCTACTCTCTGAGGCTCAACCTCTTCATCTGGAATCCCCAGACAAAGGTTCTCCCAGCATTGACATTACTGTGAGGATTAAAACACACACCATGCCTTGCACAGTCCATATTAACACACCGTAACCACTTGTGCTCTAGGCCGCTCACCAATGCCACCTCCCCCGCACTCCTGGAAGGAACGGTCTTTTTCTTTCAAGCTTCTAATTCCACCAGCATCTCCTCCCCACAAGTGCCTGGCATAAGCATATCATGGAGGGACATCATGGATGCCGCAGTCAGCTGGCCCTCTACCCAACCCTGTCCCTGAGGTGGGATCCTGTTAAGGCTGGTTCTTACCATGTGACCTTAGACTAGATGATGACCCCAAGACTCACTGTAGGCTGGTTGTAGTGCTCCAGGGACATGGTGACCACGTTGAGGCAGATGATGAAGGTGATGAAGATGTCCAGGTAGTGGCTGGTACACATGGAGTGGATGAGCAGCCTTGTGGGACAGTATGTGGCATAGTAGGGCAGCCTCTGGGCCTCTGCAAGGAGTATGGGAGAGCGGCACAGACCATACAGGGTTGGACCAAGCAGAGAGATGAGCACAAAGGAGGGAGAAAGCAAGAGAGAAGCATGCTGGCTCATACCAGGTCCTAGATGAGAGTTAGTATTCCTCTACCAGCCAGAGCACCCACCAAGAGGGAAACCAGGAGATACTGGGGTCAGGTAGCAGAGATGTTGGGGCACACATTATTTCTAAATACCCAAAAGGCCCATGATAAAGACTCTAGGTCTGATAGGCAGAGACAAGGGTCCTCAGGCTGGCTATCCAGGGGTGGATGACTGTCCCCAAAACTATACACAATTTGCATGAGGGAGAACATAAGGGGAGGTGTGTTCTGAAAGTTCCCACTCAGTGATGCCCACAGGGAAGGCCTCCTCTGTCTCTGCCTGCACTGGACAACCTGGGGCTTCACTCAGATAGACAATGGTGTCATTACTGATGGTCTCAGGTCACCTGCACAAGCAGATGCCAGGGCATAAGATGGATTAAATCTTTTGTTCCCTTCCAGTTCCAAAGACTCAACAGGCCTCAATCAAGTGCCCGCTAGGACACCGCCCAGTAGGCACCGCAGTGAGAAGAGAGACCCTGCCCATCCCAGCATCCACCATCTGCTCACTACGGCGCTTCTTCTCCAGGCGCCTTAGCCGCTTCTCCTCGCGCCTCCGGGCCTCTTCCGCCTCCTGGTGCTGCCGGCATTTGTGGAAGTTCTCCACCACCACGCCCACGAACATGTTGAGCACGAAGAAGCTGACGATGAGCAGGAAGGAGATGAAGTACAGCAGCATCCAGGGGTTGTGGTTGGTCACAGGCTGCAGGGGAGGCAGAAGGAGGGCTGAGGAGGCTGATCTGCACAAGGCCACAGGTGTGCTTGACTTCACCAAGCCTCGGTGTGAGGGGGGAGTTAGGACAGCTTGCCTCCAAAGAGTAAGGTGAAAAACAACACAGCATGGGAAATGTCTGGCCTGGACCTGATGTGAGGAAGGAGGTCAGCAAACGATCCCCCTTCCCTGCTGTACTTGTTTTCTGCATACATTGGTCTTCTGTCTTTACATTGACCTTCCACCCATTCACCCATACAAGCATTCATCTACCATCTACCCAACTCATCTATCACCCACCTACCTACCTACTCAACTATCCACCCACCCACTCACCTACCCATCCATTCATCCACCCATCCATCTACCCATTCACTCATCTACCCATCTACCCACTCACCTACCCATCCATTCATCCACCCACCCATCTACCCACTCACTCACCTACCCACCCACCCATATACCCACTCAACCATCCATATTCACCATATATCTAATTCATCATTCCATTACCTACCCATCTATTCACTCATCCACTCATCCACTCATCTATCCAACCTATTTATATCTGCCCATCATCCCACCCCCTCATCCATCTGTCTGCCCACACATCTCTCCATCCATAAACCCAATCATCTATCTGTCATCCCACCCCCTCATCCATCTGTCTACCCACACATCTCTCCATCCACAAACCCAATCAGTTATCCATCCACCCAGCTACTCATTCATCTTTTTGTTGTTGTTGGTGGTGGTGGTTTGGTTTTTTGTTTGTTTGTTTTGCTTGTTTTGTTTTTCAAAAGTCGCTTTCTCTGTGTAGCTCTGGCTGTCCTGAAACTTGCCCTGTAGTCCAGGCTGGCCTCAAACTCAGAGATCTGCCTGTATCTGCCTCCTGAGTGCTGGAATTAAAGGCATGTGCCACCACTGCCTAGCCCCTCATCTATCTATCTATCTATCTATCTATCTATCTATCTATCTATCTTCTATCTATCATCTATCTATCCATCCATCCATCCATCTATCCATTCACCCACTCACAGACTCATCTATGCACCTGTCCATCCATCTATTCATCTACCTTCCCACCCACACCCATATCCAACTATCCACTCACCCATCCTCCCATTCACGCACCAACCTACCCACTTATCCATCTATCCATCCATGTACCATCCATCCATCCACCAGCCTTCCATCCACTCAGCCTGCACTCATCCACCCACCCTCCCACTTATCCATAAACAAAGCAGACAAAGCAGAAAACTGAGCAGGAAGCAGCCAGCTCAGAATGGTGAGTGGAGTCCATCGCTAGGAAGAGGAGAGAGGCAGTCAAGGACAAAGGAACACTTACAGGTCTACTCATCACCACTGACCCTCCTCACCTCCTCTAGCTCCAAACCTAACCTGGTGGTTCTAGGAGACCAAGAGCCAGAGGTGACTTCAGGTCCCTCCCCGCCATCCTCATCAGCTGTGGCCCAAGCCATGCCCACCTGCTGGTCCACGGCAACAGCATCCAATCCATTATACATGATGTTCACCCAGCCATCCTTGGAGGCCAAGACAAAGAGGGACATCAGAGCCTGGAAGACAAAGGAAGGGGTAGAGGTGACAGATGTGGGTACCTCAGGCCTCTGCTGTCCTGTCTCTAGGAGACTAAAAACAAAGAGGTCTCCCTGAGTGGTCGAGCTGTGCCCTTGATGGATGAGGCCTCTGTGAGCATCCCCTGTGTGCCTGCTGGGTGCCCACGGCTGCTATTGTGGAGTTAGAAGGCGAACTGGAGCCAGAGTCCTGAGCCACCCTCTCAGTTCTAGTAGTAACTGGCTGTGAGATGTCCAGCAAGAGAGTCCACGAACTCCCATGCCCCGGCCCACAGCAAGAGCACAGGATCCCGTGAGGGAGCAGTGAGTCTTTAGATGGGACGCTTCCTGGCAAGCCTGGGGCTGTGCCATTGTCACCCCAGGAGTCCCCAGCACCTGAATCAGAAGCTCAGGAGCCCTGAGCCTCAACCCAGCCTCTGGTGTTAACTCAGGTATGAGAGTGTGGACCTGTGAGTGAGAATCAGGGGATCTACCACAGGGCCACCAGCAGGGGTCACCAGGGGAGACACCAGTGAGGGGGACACCAGTGAAGGGGATACCAGTGAGGGGACACCAGTGAGGGGGACACCAGTGGGGGACACCAGTGAGGGGGACACCAGTGAGGGGGATACCAGTGAGGGGGATACCAGTAAGGGGACACCAGTGAGGGGGACACCAGTGGGGGACACCAGTGAGGAGGATACCAGTGAGGGGGACACCAGCAAGGGGGGCACCAGCGAGAAGGCACCAGCGAGAAGGCACCAACCTGGACCCTGCTTCTTCTTACATCCCCAGAGAAAAAATAGCCCCCTCTCTGGAAATACCTAGCTGCTGGAGTCTTTGTGGGGCTGAGGAAATGAGGCCCTTTGGAGGCAGCTCTCACCTGGAACCATCCCCAGGAGGGGACCAAAGGCAAAGCAGGACCCTGCAAGCTGTCTGAATTATTAGAAAAGAGAAGATGCCAGGCCAAGAGGCCCAATGGACTAGTCACCAGCTGAGTTTGTCTACTGGACTATCATATGCCCATTTGACAGAGGAAGAAACTGAACCTCAAGAGGAATATCCGTACCAAAAACAAACAAACAAAACAAAACAAAAAAGCTGGGGTGTATGCCCAGGTGTGGACGGCTCTAAAGCCCCCATTACCAACCCTTGGTTGGGAAGGTAAGACCAGAGCCAATGTTCATGAAGCACCAGCCAAGTTTCACGTGCTGGCAGATTCTGCACTCAGGGTCCCAGCCTCACACCTCCCGGGAGCAGAGCTCCACCCCTACCCACTTTGCAGGATGGGAAACTCCTGCTCGGAAAGGGAAAAGGGTCTGTGGCAACAATGCAGGACCCGAGCCGGGCCCATGACCCCTGAAGCGCTCACCTGGCCCAGGTTGTCAAAGTTGTACTTGTGATGCACCCAGCGATAGTTGGCGGCCACGCAGTCAGATCTGTTGGTGATGTTGCGGGTGTCCACTCCCAGACAGTGGTAGAACTTTCCCTTGAACAGCTGTGCGCAAGGAGGGGAGAGCTGGTTGCTCGGGGTGAGGGAGGCACAATCAGAGGAGGGGAAGCTCCCCCAGGAACTGACCCACGCAACCCGCCCCTTGCTCAATCAACCCAGGTTGGCTCTGCCTCCTTCAACTGGTTCCATCAAGACCACCTGAGTCCCCATGTGCGTGAATACAGGTGCAGGGGCAGAGCGCGCGGGGGGGGGGGGGTTGGTATGAATAGGCTGGGCTGGGCTCTTTGTCACCCGCCAAGTGGGCACCCCCTCACCTGCACCCCCAGGATGCCGAAGATGATGAAGAAGGCACAGCAGATAAGCACGATGTTGCCGATGGGTTTAAGGGAGGAGATGAGCGTCTCTACCACCAGCTTCAAGCCAGGGGCCCGGCTAATGACCCTGCAGGCAGACAAGGAAGGACAGGGCACTGAGCCAACAGAGAGACAGCCCCAACTCAGTTCACAGCCACCAGGCCTCCTGAGAGGTGAGGTTCCAACAGGGAAATGAAGAGACAGTTGCCAGGTGACCTAGGATGGGGGTGAGCAGTGATCTCTACCTAGGTCAACACACAGAAGGACACTTGACTCCTCACCCAGTACCCATGTGGTACACATTACACCCGAGAGATGGCAGTGAACCACCCAGGAACACAGAGGAGGTCACACTATGGAAGCCATTTGAGCCCCTGCCCTACGCTCTCTGGCTCCTCCCCCAGCAGTGTGGTATGCTTGGCACAATGCTCTTGGGAGCCTGCATTGTCAAGCCAGAGTGACAACCCACTTAGACTCAGGTAATTTCCCTACACGGCGCAGCCACCTTGTCCTACACTTCACCCCTACTACGCATTTTTGGCAGGGTCTCTACCTCAAAGGACGTAAGGTGCGTAGGAGTCGCAGGACCCGGAGGACTCCCAGAATCTTGGCTCCCCCCGCGGAGGCCACAGATACCACGATATCAATGATGGACACAAAGACCAGGAAGCCATCCAGTACATTCCAGCTGCTGCGTAAGTACGCCTGCTCGCCGAAGTACAGGCCCAGAGAAACCACCTGGGGACAGGGTTAGGGTCAAGCCTTGGGAAGTGGAGGTCAGGTCCGCCCCCTGTAAAGAGGTGATGGGTGGGGTGTGGCACATGATGGCTCTTCTGAAGACTGGTAATGGGCAGGAAGGAGCAGGTCTGGGCCCAGGGAAGGCTCCAAGCTATGGTCTCAGAGAACAACAATGAGATCTCAATCCAAAGCCACCCACACTGGGAACCCCCAGGGTAATGCTTCTACCCAAACACGCCCTTCTAGCTGGGTTTAATAATTGGAGAAGAGGGAGGCATTGATCCCCTCTCATCCCAGAGCTCCACCCAGGGTCTAGAGCCCAACAGGAAGGACCTCTGGGGCCTGTGGAATGTTGCTGAGCACCAGGCCAGCAGGAGGGGTAAGGCCTAAGCCAGGGGCTCCAGGTGGGAGTGGGAAGGATGCAGGTGAAGCCCACAACCTTCAGTGTCATCTCGCCCACGAAGATGGCTGTGAAGATGTAGTTAGACACCGTGAGGAAGATGCGCTCCTGAAAGAGTGGGAGAAGCCGTGAGTACAAGTCTTCCACAGCTGTCCATGTGCCTAATCAGCCTCTGCTTCAGCCAGTAGCAGCCACGACAGCTGCCGCTAAGTGTCTGGCTTAGCCGAGCTCTTCCTGGGCTCCCCCACCTTGGCCATCCCCAGTGTTGAGAGCCTCTGCCCAGCCCCAGGGTGGCAGCCACTCACAGTGCTCCCGGCTTCAATCTGAGGCCTCTCCAGAGCAATGGTGATGCAGTTGAGGAAGATGAAGGCCAAGACCACGTAGTCAAAGAGCTTGTGAGCAATGATGGTCTGACAGAGGATCCGGAACCTAAGTGGAAGTCAGGAAACCCCTGCAGGGTCAGTTTGACCAGAAGGAAGATGGAGGACCAATACACACTCTCGGACCAGAATGGCTGAGAGGAAGAGATCCCTCTCCCTTCTTGTAGCCATTCAACAGGTGCCAACTTTACATCTGCCAAAGGTGCCCAACTGGAGCCTCCTCCCAACCATACACCTATGTAATGAGGTCAACCAGCTGCCTCCAACACCCAACACAAAGGCCTCTGATGGGAAGGGCTCCATCTGAGCTTTCAGGCTGGATTGTGCATTTGCCCAGGTTTGAGCCCAACACAGGAGATGCTCAGGAAAGCCAAGGAGGGCCATCTGGACTCCCCCACTTCCCTTGAAGACCCTCCTCTCTCTAGCATATGGAGGCACTCTTCCAAACATGTCACCCTCCTCCCTGGGCCTCACCCCAGCCAGCCACCACTCACTTGTTCTCAGGAGAGAAGAGGTAGACGGACCAATCCTCACGGACTTCACACCAGTCAGGCTTGTAGACATCAATCATCTTGCGGACCCGGAAACACAGGGTCTGGCAAGACAAGGAATTGGGTGCCAGGGTTGGTGGTGCACAGAGCGGCCCATCTCTTCCCACTCGGTCAGCCACCCAAGGAGGTGGGGGTGGGGCTACGGGATGAACTCTGAACTCTTACCCCGACCCCAACCATAGGATTGGCAACAGTAGGTCTGGGGTGGGTAGTTCTAGGGGTCCTGTCCAGTCCCAACTCACGTAGTCGATCTCCTCCTCGTCTTCTCCACGGTCGCGGCGGTCATCCATCTTGGTGAAGACATCCTTGGCGATGTTGGGCATTCTGCCATTGCAATCCTCATGCCCCGGAGTCTGCCCCGCTGCCCTCCAAACAGTCCGCGAGTGAGCGCCCACCACGGGCACCAGCTCTGCCAGGTCCACCGAGTCTCTGGTATCGAGGGACAGCGTCCGGCGGTGGTGGCGGTGACGGTGTGCAAGGTGGGGTCCATGGTGAGCATGGTGGGCATGTGGGGCATGCAAGGGTGCCGTGTGGCATGGCGCCTCCTCCCGGGCACCCTCACAGGCCCTGGCGCAGCTGCCACCATGCTCCCCCGACAGCAGGGACTCGTGCTCAGCTGAGGGTGGCTTGTGCTTCAGGCTGTTCCAGCTGGAGCGGCGGCTGGCCCAGGTCCCGCTACGTCCCCAGGGCCCATAGTAGGAGCTCCGGGAGCTGGACTGCGGAGAGGCCCAGGCTTGGATCAGCAGTCACCCACACCGTAATCCTAGCACCAAGGCCCGAACCTCCTGCAAGCCATGCTAGAGTGAGCCCACCCACGCCAATGTATGACGGGCATTAAACCCCCTCCTTCTTTGAGGAAAGTATATAGTAAATAAGGGCCTGCTTTACAGGTAAGAAAACTGAGGCTCAGGGAAAGGTGATAATTTGCTTGCTTTTACACAGCTCAGAGGTGGCAGAGGCCAGATTAAATTTCCACTTGGCCTTACTTCCAGTCAATACACTGCTGCCAAGATGAAATCCCAGATCTCTCCACCAGACCACAGCCTTTCATTCCAGCTACCAAGACCTGTTCTGGCACAGAGCACCCAGAACTGCCATAAACACAGACCCTGCCTGGTTTAGACTAGATAGTAGGGTACCCTAGCCAGGGCACTTCCTACCACGGTCCCTCAGAGCCTTCCACCTCCAGCAGGGAGCGTCCATCATGGCACCCACAGGACTCACCAAGGAACGCTGGTCGTAGCTCATCCTGCCCAATGACATGACACTGCTTTTGCGGGAGTCAAGGGCCACCAGTACCGGGTCTGGCTGCAGTGAGAGGCGAGGGGCAGGGCCCATGGCACCAGCAGGACCCAGATGCCCACCTAGGGGGAGGCTAGGGTCCAGATGTCCATTGGGTGTCATAGGTATGGGGCAGAGCTTGAGATCTGGAGGTGTGAGATGAAGACAGCAGACAGACAGACAGACATGAGCCAATCAGGAGATGTATGTATATGGAGAGCTTTTTCTGGGGAGACATCCTTGACCAGGAAATCCCGGAGGTTGCCATCTACTTTGCACGCCTTCCTCCATCCTCCTTGCAAGGCTGTTTATTTGCTTCCTCATGAACCCTTCCTTCTGTTCTGGGGCCTCGACCTCCACCCAGCAGGAGAACCTCACTCCCATGCTCACAGGCAGACACTGTCTTCTTGGGTTACCCTGGCCACTGGGCTTGGTTGGAGAAGGCTACCCTAGTGGTAGCAGACATAACCAGAACACAGGCCACATCCTAAAACACTGGGGCTTTAACTCCGGGTCCCATGTAGGAAGGGCAGCAGGTGGGCTTTCTAGGGGAACCCAGGAGGTCTGTGAATGTCCATTTCTGAAACCACGCATCTCTTTTGGATATAATTGTAAAAAAAGAGACCAGTGGCAATCCCAGAGCCCAAGCTTCATGGGGAAGTCATCGTACCCTATGCCCACCTGGGAATCTACGGAAGCCTCCTGACCCTGAGTGGAAAGTGGGTGTGTGCTTACCCCCGCTACTGTCCAGGCCCTCTGGGAGCTTGTCAAACTCCTCCATGTTGGATGAACTCTGGTCCTCGTCAGAGTAGGAGCGATTAGCATCACCCTGGAAATCAGCTCACATTGGCACAGGTCGGCCCTGCCTTTTCCTACCCTACCCTTGGGATTTTTCAATGGGTGCTTCCACCCTCCTTTTACAGATGGGGAAAGTGGTTCAGAACGGGGACCTGAGAGGTTAGTGAGGACGTCGGCCACAAAGCCCAGTCTTCCTGATCTCCAGGACTCCCCAAAGCCTCACAGATGGAGGGAGAGGCAGGCTCTGGAATGCCAGGTCTTGGAAGCTTTAGAATCTGAGGTAGTGAAGACACCCATACTGGATGCAGCTTCCATTTGCTTCCAAGATCGGGATGGGAAGCTTGCTGCCTCAGACAGCTCTACTTCAGGGGGACATTTCTTGCTAAAATTATAAGCTGGTACTTATCCCCCAACCAGGCTCCCTGTCCCCTGCCCAGTGACCCGCCCAGGGCGATAGTTACCTCAGCCTGGAAGCCCTCTACCAAGATGGCCACCAGGAGATTGAAGAGTACATAATTGCCAAAGGTCATGAGGGCAACAAAGTAGAGGGAGGCCCATGGAGTGGTGGAGGCCATGCCATTGTAGAGGACAACGTTCCAGTCCTCCTGCGTGAGGATCTGTCGAGAAGGATACAATTCACCCCTGGAATCCTCCCAAGCCCAGGCTGTAAGCCTAAGACCGTCCAGGACCTGCCATACAGACGCTTCTCCCTACACACCCCATCCAAGAGCTGTCAGCTATCACTCACCTGGAACACTGTGACAATGGCCCACAGTAAGGAGTCAAAGTTCTTCCTGTCAGGAACTGTGTCTCCAGTGTCCGTGCGGAGGCTGAATTTGCAGCCAAAGATATGCATCCCAAGGATGCTGTGCAAGAGAAAGAAGCGGCTCATGAGACTTAGCGCACTGAGCTCTCTGCAGCTGCCGAGACCACCCAGAGCCAGAAGAGAGGGCAATCTCAAGTCCATGTTAATAGAGGGGAATGTCGAGGCTCAGAGGAAGGACCTGCCCAGAGCCCTCAGGGTTGAGTGATGGCGTTGGGTTCACAGCTAGATCCTCCCTTCACCAGCCTCCACATCCCAGGCTCATGCCCACAGCCCCTATCAGGTTCCCCAGTGTTGAGTCCTGGCTGGGCGGGGCGCACCTGAAGATGAAGATGAAGAGCATGAGCAGCATGCAGAAGGTGGCCACGTTGTCCATGGTCTTCATGAGCACCACGAGCTGGCGCCGCAGCGCCGGCATGAAGCGCACCAGCTTCAGCACCCGCAGCAGCCGGAAGGTGCGCAGCACCGACAGGCCTCCGTCTGCCTGTCCCACGATTTCCCAGATGCTGCAGCCAGTGTTGGGGGAGGGAGGCAGAGGGGTCAGTGGGAGGCCAAGAGGACGAGAAGATGGAAGAGGTAGACAGGGCAAGGAGGACAGAGAAACAGCTTGCATCATCCATCCATCCATCTAACAAATGGTGTTGGGTGCTACTCCACAGCACCCCTTAAATCAGGTTTTCTTAGCCAGGAGCCCATGGGTCCTGCATTAAGAAGCCTATGGCTCTCGAGTTGGTGAGATACCTAAGCAGGTCAAGAAGCTTGGAACCAAGCCTGACGACCTGAATTCAATCCTCAGGACCCACATAGTAGGAGAGAAGTGACTCCTGCCAAGTTGTCCTCTGACTTGCAACACACACACACACATATGCACACACTGCATATGCACACTTATAAAGAAGGACAAAGAGGCCAGGTGGTGATGGTGCACGCCTTTAATCCCAGCACTTGGGAGGCAGATATAGATGGATCTCTGTGAGTTCAAGGCCAGCCTGGTCTACAGAGTGAGTTCCAGAACAGGCTCCAAAGCTGCACAGAGAAACCCTGCCTCAAAAAACTTAAAAAAAAAAAAAAAAAAAAGACAACGAGAAGGCAACAGTCTTTGTCTAAAGCCTCACAAGGCTCTAAATGTCACTGTCCTCTCTCTGAGGTTGCGTGCTTCTTTTGATTACGAACATAAACAACAAACCAGAGATTCAGCCAGAGCCATGACGTCATGGGCAATCAGAATAGCTAATATCTTCAGGTGGCAGAATGACTGATGAGGCCATTTCTGTGTTTCCAACCCCTGTTTGGAACTCGGTGGCCTCAGACTCACTGCGACCCCGACTGAGCGCATTAATGCAGAAGCATAGATTACTAAATGACCAGTTTATTCGGTATTTGTCAGTAAGAGTTTCTCTTGTTATTCAGAGACTTCCTGTGCTATCAGGGCTTGGGGCTCTCACTCCCGCTCCTCAGCTTCGAGGTGGCAGTGTGGTTACCTGATGATGACAATGATGCTGTCAAAGATGTTGTAAGGGTTTCGCAGGTAGTCGAAGAGCCCAAAGGCAGCCAGCTTCAGGATCATCTCCAGGGCAAACATGCTGGTGAAGACGACATTACAGATCTCCAGAATGTTGGTCAGCTCCTCAGGCTGTGGGATGTAGGGTGAAGAACGTGTGACCCTGGCGTGTCCCTGTCACGGCACTGTAGTCTTTAGGGCTTCTTAGCTGTGCTACCTTTGGATCCTGGGGTGGTGTCTGCTAAGGAGTGAGGCAGCCCACCAGTGATGTTGGTACTGTGCACCGGAAGGCATTACTACCCATGCTACAGATGGATCAGCCGCTCACACACTGCCAGGAAGCAGAAATCAAAAGACAGGGTACCTACTGCATGCCAGGCACAACCCTCGGCTCAGACGCCTCCACAGTGACTTTCAGGGAATACCACGGAGATCAAGGGAAGTGTCCAGAGTCACTAGCCGGTGGCAGCGGACCCCAATTCTTCAGCCACGGGCCTCCCTCTACCCTGGAGCTATTTCTCTCAGGGTTTCTTTTAAAAAAAAGTGGTTCCATTTTAAGCAGGTAGCAGCTTAAAATGGAACCACTGAGAACCCTGCTTTGAAACAGACGGTGCCATGGGGATAAAAAGGATGGATCCAGGCATGGCCCCTGCCTCTGACCCTCCCTCCCCTTATCTACAAGCAAGGTGTAGAAGACACAGCCTATGGCTAAGGGTGAGCCAAAGAGGCTCTCCTCTCCATGGTGAAGGGCCTAGCGCTCAAGGGAACACCAATGGCTCCTGCCTGAATCCTAGAAAAAGAATGGGCCGCTTATTCCTCCATCACTGAACCTCAAAGCCTGATAGGCCATCGCTGACCTTTCCATTTGAGAAGTAAGGGAACCGGCTGGGTGCTGGGAACTGGCTTACATGGAACCACCCAGCAGCAATAGCAGACTAGAAGGAACCGGCTGGGTGCTGGGGACTGGCTTACAAGGAACCACCCAGCAGCAATAGCAGACTAGAAGGAACAGGCTGGGTGCTGGGGACTGGCTTACAAGGAACCACCCAGCAGGAATAGCAGACTAGACTCCGCTGCAGCACACAGAAACTGCCTGAACCAGCTCATCCACTCATTCATTCATTTGGTTCCTCCTGGGTGCATCACATAGGTCTTCCAAGAGCCCACACTGTGCTGGACCTTTATGTTCCTGAGGGGGCCAGGGGATGCCCACTTTCATTGGCAGAGTCCCACAAATCACCCCAAAACAAAGCAAGCCGATACCCACTACGCTGGCAAAGCTAAGCTTGGGAGACAGTGCTGGGGAGCCAGGCAGTATCTTGGGGGAAGTCAAAGAAGAGGGCCAGTGACACGGGAGAACAAAGCAGGCTAACCAAGCCAAACTCCCAGCCAGCAAGGGGTGGGTGGCAGGCAAGTGCAATGACAGCTAGCCATCCCCCACCCTGCCGGCACCCTAACTCCAAGCTCAGGCCTTCCACTGAGCGGCAGGGAACCCCAGAGGCCCAACTTTGATTCCATATGATTTACAAGAAGAAAGAAAAATTTATGCAGCCACCAGCTTCCCATCTAGTGCCCAGGAAATCCAATAAAACTGCCAGTTCCTCTCAAGTCCAGATAAAAGGAGAGGGACCCATTTCCATCCACAATTACATTTGACTCGCAAAGCGCAAGATGAGCAGGACCCTGGAAAGGCCGTGGGACGGAGGGACTCTGATGCTGCTCGCTCGGCCCACCCAAACCAGATCTTTGGAGATGAGAAGGGAGGCTGCTGACGGGTCCGTGATGGCCCTCCGCTGGCTCTCAGCCGCACACAATGTGTACGTGTTCCTTCCAACTGTGCTCGAGCCGAGCCACGGCTGCGCTTCAGAAAGGTCACTAGCTCGCCTCCCTCCTCCCCCGCAACAGCCTTGTCTCCAGGCAGCGCACACCTGTTAATCTCTCTCTAATGGACCATCCATCACTCCCAAGAGCATTTTTCTGGGAGAGAGGCAGGCTGGAGAGAGGCAGACAGATGAATATAGACACCGCCAGTGGGAGGCCACGCGGGGGATGGAAGGGACGAGGCAGAGATGCAGAGAGACGCAAGCCAGGTGGATGGACAGACAGACAGGAATATGGAGAGCACAGAGCAGAGGCGAAAGCCCTGGTGAAGATGTAAGGAAGGTGGTCTTGGGACCTGGCACGGTCGGTGGAGTGCTTGCCTAACAAGCACGAGGTCCTAAGTGCAACCACCACACCCATTAATTGTAATCTTAGCAGTCAGAGGTAGGCAGCAGGAGGATCAGAAGTTCAAGGTCATTGTTGACTATANGTTGTACACATAATAAATAAATAAAATCTTAAAAAAAAAAAACTAGGTGTGGTACACATACCTTTAATCCTAGCACTCAGGAGGCAATCAGATCTATAGAGTTCAAGGCCAGCCTAGGTTACCTGACGTCCTATTTCAGGGGAGTGGGGAGGAAAGGGGTGGATTGAAACACAGCGATAAGGTAGAAATCAGAGACAAGCCAGGAGAGACAACACAAAAATCACAGACGGACAGGCAGACAGAACAACAGATAATGAGAGGTCTGATGCCTAACATGCTCCCTGTGGAAGAGCAGGTGGTCCAGAAACATCAGCTTGCATCTAGAAGGTACAAGGGGCTCGTTCTGGCCTAGTGCTGGGCTTAGCGGTCCTAGACTGTCCAGTTCCTGGACACCTCTATAGAGGTAGATGAAAGGACATACAAGGGTCTTTGAACCGTCCAGGAACCCCTCAAGCCCAGTCTATCACCATGGTGACAATGGCAGCAGGTGTCAGCTAAGTTCCTCCTGGGGGCAGGCCTACAAAGCACTTTCTAAGTGCCTATCATCTAAGTTCCAATCTGGCCCACACTGCGCCCATTTAGTAGTTAGGAAATACATGGCTCAGAAAGAAGTGAAGGCTCAGGGTCAGGCCAGGCCAAGATGGAGTCCACTCGGGAGCCGTGCCTTCTCCCTCTCCTGTGAACCGAGTGCCATCACCTGGCCACGTTTTAGCAGAAGTTTGTTCAGCACGTGTTATTCCCCTGCTTAAAGCCTTCCCTGGCTCCCCACTACACAAGGGTAGAAGTGTCCTTGAGGCCCTCGGTGGACAAGCAGCCCTGCTTGCCCCACGGGCTGTCCACCTCAACGCCATCTCTTCCAGGACGCCCTCCCTGGTTGCAACCCTTGTTAGTGTCTCTCTCCCGAGACCCTTACAGAGTTAAAACTTCAGGCACCAAACCATACCATAATTCTCTTCCCAGAGTCACCCTAAGCCTGGTTTATGTTTACTTCATAGGAGCTACCCAATGAGCTTTGAGTTGCCCACAGCTGGGGAGGTCTTGAACACATTCCCCTGGGAGCTAAAGCCAAAATGATCCTACATCCTAGATGGGGCAGCCCTAAGCTGGAGGGACCCCTTCCTGGTGCCCATTCCATAGAACCTCTGCTTTCCACTCTCCGCCTTGACCAGCCTTCACCGAGGCCAGGATGAGGCTTTGGGGTGGCCCTGCCCAGCCTGAGAGGAGGCCCAGGTCTAGTCAGAGAGACACTATGGCAGGGCCACCCCAAAGCCTCCGAGTGTCTTCCTGGCCTGTGCCCCCACATTTGTTGTGCTCATCCACAGCTGCCCTCTGCACCCCAGAACCAGTCCTGCTGGCTGCTTGCCAGGTCACCCAGGCAGTCTATTTGCCTTCCTCAGTTTCCCCACCTGCCCCCACCTTCCCACTTCTGTGAAGATGAAGCCTGGCAGTCAAGTTGACCTGACTCTCCTTATGGTCCCACAACTCAACCAGAGACTACCCAAGGGGTGTGGGCTTCTCAAGTCTCCCGGGTCTCCTGGGATTTCTCTTTTTCAGTGCTGGGAATTAAACCCAGGACATGCTAGTCAAGTACTCCGCCATCAAGATACACCTGGTCCTTGTTGGTCATTCTCTCTGTCTTCATGAAACACAGGCAGGTCCATAACTGGCTGACTTCCTTTCACCTGTGAAGTCCCTCCAGGCCAGGCCCTACACGGAATACCCACGCCATACAGAGCCTGAACAAACAAATTGTTCACAGGGCTGGCCCGCCATTATTTGAGCAGCAGTGGCCATGCTATAGGCCATGAGCATCTATACTGAGCTCCCCATAGTTAGAGAGGCAGGGGTGACAAGCCAGGACCTCAGCACTTACCCCCTTACAAGTGGTATCCAGAGTTCTCTGCAGGCTTGGGTGGGGTGCAAGGCCCAGTGGAGGCGGGGGGGGGGGGAGGAGGACCCATGACCCTCTCCCCTTTTTCCTTGCATGCCATCTGCAGTCCTGGGCCACCTCACACTGTGGGGCCACCTCAGTGGGGGGATGCTCGAAATAAACCTGGGGGCGGATCAGTTTCCCGCAGAGAGATGTCTGAGAGCCCAGGGCGAGGAACAAAAATACCAGCGGGCTCTGCACAGAGCTCAGCGGAACAATGGCTGCCACTCGGTACTGCTTTAAAAAGCATGGTTTAAAAACGCTTCCTCCTCCTCGCTTCTTCTTTAATTAATTTTTGAGGCTCCAGACAGTGGATGGGAAACTCACCCAGGCTGGTGGCAGAAAGCTTAAACAAAAGATCTGCTAGTAGTCATGGAGTCATGAATGCCTACTAGACAATCAGAATTCACATGTTTGTCCTTCCTGGCCACTGTGTGTGTGTGTGTGTGTGTGTGTGTGTGTGTGTGTGTGTGTTGGGTGTGTGTGTGTTGGGTGTGTGTGTGTTAGGTGTGTGTGTGTGTGTTGGGTGTGTGTGTGTTGGGTGTGTGTATGGAGGGAAGGGTATCTGACTTTTCTGTAGATAGAGGCACTAGCTAGGTAAGCATGTGACTTTCCCAGGGCCACTGTCCGTCAGCAGCAGAACCAAGGTTGAAATCTGGACCATGAATAAAGGATATGGCCCCCGAGTAGCGGCCTTCCAAGTGTGAAAACAAGAAGCCGTGATGCTAGCCTGGAAAATATTTGTGAGGACTCAGGGACACCTTGCTCTCTCTAGGCCTAGAGCTTACTAAGTTCCCAGTACACAATCTGCCTCGGAGGGAGACATCTCAAGGCTGAGGTTGATCTGGGTAGACCCTACTCTTGGGAGGAGCCTCTTCCACCAGGTGGGGACTCCAGGTAGGAGGCAACTGCACACCACGTGACTTCTGCTGTACCAATGGGAGAAGCTCCAGCAGAGTTAGAAAGTTTGGGGCCCGACAAGGTAGCTCGATGGGTAAAGAACAACAAATGGTTGATTTTTTTTTTCTTTTCGAGGCAGGGTTTTTTGTGTAGCCCTGGTTGTCCTAGAACAAGCTCTTAAGACTAGAATGGTGTCAAATTCAGAGATCTCTCTGCCTCTGCGTCCCAAGTGCGGGGATTAAAGGTGTGTGCTATTGTGGCCAGCTCAAAACAATTTTTTAAAGGAAGTCAGCCTGCTCAAGTGGGATACAGCAGGGTCAAGAGGTGAGTCAGAAAAGACCCTGAGCAGACTCATGTAGAGACCGTGACTAGCCCGAAGTCAAGCAGGGGGGCAAAGGAAGAGCTGCCTCTGCTGTGGTGCTGCCTTGGAGAGGCTTCAAAAATCAGAGACCAATGGGGTTCAAATAAACCCACCAGCAAGAAAGAATCCTGATTTGTGGCCAAGTTCCATGGTGTAAATTCTTTCCCCAGAATCCATCTCAAACAAGCAACTATTTGACAACTGCTTGCTACATTCCCAGGTGTGAGAAAACTGGTGCTCACCAGCTGGTTCCAGCAAGCCACAGACAGTGCCCCCTCTGGTAGAGCAGGGCGTAGACACCAGAGCCAGGCTCCGGAGAGCAGCTCTTCCCCCAGCACCTTCCCCAAGAGCGTAAGCCCAGCTGGGTCCCCTGCGCTCTGACCGTCTAGAGCCTTAAGGTGGTAAAGTTTAGTCCTCTCCTCTCACCAGCTTCTCCCTGCAGAGATCCCACCCAGCAGCCCTCCCCAAAGATCTTCTTAATTAAGTCAGAATAGCTGGCAAACCTGCAGTACCAACCGAGTGTCGGGTGGCAGCCCCAGGGGCCACATTTAACTAAATTGAATGAAGCCTGTGCTTGGTGAGCTAATGAGCAGAGAAATGAGGAGTGTGGCCCCCTCTAGGCACAGGGGAGGGCTCTGCAGAATGACGAGGACACCATAGCCAGGGGGGCTCAGAATCCAACTCCTGCTGGGATGTCAATCTTGCCACAGGAGGTGGGTTCAAGCCGGGCTGCTAGCTATCTCTGGGACCTCAGGTCAGTGAGCCTGGGCATTCCCAGCTGGGAAGTGGGGGTGCCCCACCAAGCTGAGGAGCAGTCCAAGGAAGCCACACCCTCCAAAAAAGATTAGTGGACAGGAGCCAGGAAATAGGGTTACTCCAAATGGAGCCAGCATTTGACAGGAGTGCCCTATGAGCTGCAGACTTTGGGGCAGCTTAGGAGGAAAAGAAGCAGGCAACCTCTGAGTTGGGTCCTAACCCATGAAGTCTTATCCTGCCAGTGAACCACATTCATCATGAACCACATTCATCATCCAGTCTTTTTTTTTTGGGGGGGGGGGGCTTCGAGACAGGGTTTCTCTGTAGCTTTGAGCCTGTCCTGGAACTAGCTCTTGTAACCCAGACTGGACTTGAACTCACAGAGATCCACCTGCTTCTGCCTCCCAAGTGCTGGGATTAAAGGCGTGTGCCACTACCACCCAGTTCCATTCATTCTAAAGACACCCAAGAGCATCTACCCCCAAGTGTTGCTTTGGGCAAGGATTTGAAGCCATGTGAAAGGATTAGACCACCCTAGCCAGGGTCAAGGAGATAGATATGGTGGTGGGCTCAGTCTGGCCTGGGTGTGCCCCTCCACCCCTGCCCAACCTGAACCCAGTGCTCCACACTGGCCTGCTTCTCCCTACCCCCCACCTGGCCCAAGCCCTGTACCCTCACTGGCCTGTTCATGGTGCTCGATGCCCATGCTGACAGTGTTGACCAGGATGGCCATCATGATGCCTCTGTTGAAGTACTTGCTGTCCACGATGCCCCGCAGCTTGGCTCGTGTCTCTCTCCACACATCACCACACAGTCGGGCTGCTCCGTCCTCCTGCTTCTCTTCCTTCCCCAAGCCTGAGGAGGCCCCATCCTCACTGCTCTGGGGTCCATCCCCGTCGGCTTCAGCCTCCGCGGAGCCACCAGAGCCAGAGCCTTCCTGGCCTGAGTCTGTGCTGCCCGGGCCCGAGGGCCGCCTGCCTGCCTCATGCTGGCAGCGTGGGCAACTACTAGGGTCAGAGGTCAGAAGAGCAGAGATGGGCTGCACCAGAGTGTGGGGCGTGGGGTCCAGGGGACTGTGTCGTGGGCACAGCTCTGAAAAACAAACAGAGAGCAGCATTAGTGTCCAAATCGGGTCCCCAGCTGCCACTGCCTGAAGCAAGTGAAGTCCGCCTGGTGGGCCTGGTGCTGCTTGGGAAAACATTTTATCTCCACCCGGGCTTTGTCCCTGTACAGAAGCAGGGATGGAGGACCCACCCACCAAAGTTGCAAGAGGATTGTCTTCACCTCAGTCCGTGCTAACTCTTGGTCATCTTTGACCTTGATTTTGGGCCAGTCACCCAAGGGGACCTTCCCAGGCACAGTTATAAGAATCTGAGACCACAGGTCTGCATGGAAAGTGGACGCCCCTCAGAGGAAGCTATGGTAGCTTTGGCATTCCCCACTTTGCTCATCTGTGTGAAGTTCTCAGGGAGGAGGCACAGCCCCAGATGAGGCAACCTCATTCTCTGGGTTCCCAGGACTTCCCTTCATACAAAAGTCAGGCTAAATGGGGACGGGGCAGGAAGGATCATAACAGATGGGGTCTGTGGCCCCCATAATCTCATAGGGAGTGGCACTATTAGGAGGTGTGGCTTTGTTGGAGTGGAAATGGCCTTGTTAGAGGAAGTGTGTCACTGTGGAGGCGGGCTTTGAGGTTTACTATGGTCAGGATACCAACTAGTGTCTCAGTCAACTTCCTGATGCCTTCTGATCAAGCTGTAGCTAGCAGCGTGTCTGCCGTGCTCCCAACCATGCTCCTCACCATGATGATAATGGACTGAACCTCTGAACTGTAAGCAAGTCACCCCAATTAAATGTGGCCACGGTGTCTCTTCACTCCGATAGAAACCTAAACTAAGACAGTGTCTGAGGCTTTCAATGCTGGGCTAGCCTTGAATCGCCTGGGCTACCCTTGGATCTGTAAGCCAATTCAAAGAGATGTCAGGAGGCTTCCCTCTAACTAGTTTGGTTTCTTCTTTTTATTTCTTTTTTTTTTTTCTCTGTTTAGCCCTGGCTGTCCTAGAACTCATTCTGTAGACCAGGCTGGCCTCAAACTCAGAGATCTACCTGCCTCTGCCTCCCAAATACTGGGATTAAAGGCATGAGCCACCGTGCCTGGCTGGCTTCTTATTTATGCTTTCCTATATCGTAGTGACATAAGCACATTTTGCTTGAATAAGACAAAGAAAAAGGGCGCTAATGGGAAAGAAGAGCAGGAACCCCTGCACTTTTCCACACCGGCTTCCAATACTGCAAAGCAACCAGATGCCCGAGCCACTCTGCTCCAGCCTTGGAGAATTAAAGCCCTGCTCAGCCACATCACTACTAGACTCAGGAAAAGAAGGTCTGGAGGCCCGAGGAGTGGAGGAACTAAAAACGTGAAGGGCTTCCCCCCACAGAGTTCCAGGGTGAGGGTGGTGGCAACAGCAAGAAGCCCTCCTAATACTCACACCCCTAGGAAGAGCTAGCCTTGCCCAGACCCCAGCTCCCCTCTCCACTTGCAAGTCTAGCCCACAGGTCACCTGGAACCACATCTAGATGGCTAGCATCTGAGGACAGTGGGCAACTGTCTGGTCTCCACTGGTCCCTAACTGGCAGGGTGAGAGAGCTGGGAGCATGGAGCCAGGGCCTGGGCAGTAATTGCTCTGGAGAAGGAGATGGGTAGCCCCGTGGTGTTCAAGTTCCTAAGGAGAACAGGACATGCCATGCCCCACAGCTGCTCCAAGGAACAGTCCTGGGGCCTGCCAATTTCTCAGCACCAGCTGGGAGAAAGTGGACCAAACCTGGAGTCCCCTGGTAGCCTGGGTGGCCTCCACTTAGGGTTGGGTGCATTTGCAGCTGGAGACAGACACTCAGCAAGGCCCAGCACCTCTGACACTCTATGGGGCCGGGCCTTTCGTTGACATGCCAAACCACTTAAGTGATGTCCTCATCTCCCTGGACCTTGGTTTTCCCCTCTCAGAACTGGAGACACCATTTTTAGTCTGCCCCCTTCTCAGGACTCTCTCTCTCTCTCTCTCTCTCTCTCTCTCTCTCTCTCCCTCTCTCTCCTTGCAACAGGGTCTCATGTAGACCAACCTGACCTTGAATTCACTATGTAGCTAAGGATGCCCTTGAACTTCTGATCCTCCAGTTCTATGTCCCGAGCACCAGGATTACCACCGTGCCCCATGGGGCTTGAATCTCGAGTTTTCTTTCACACGTGCTCAGCAAGCACGCTAGCCACTGCACTACGTACCCAGCCGAGAATATCCTTTCTAAGCTGAACACCAGACTTACACAAATAGTCCAGCGCCACTCAAGCACGAGGCAGGAGCAGAGGATGGGGACAAGGGGCCCCATGTGCCATGGCATGCACTGCCCATGTGCCAGGAGCCTGACATCATTACTCAGGTGTGCTGGTAAGCAGGGAACTCAGGTGTGCTGGTAAGCAGGGAACAGCCATGGGAGCCACAGTGGGAGATGATGTGGGCGGTGACAAGAGGGAGGCTAGTCTTACAAGGCTGCCAACCAATCACTGTGCACTTGACTTTCAAGTGTAGGTTCAAGGGAGTGGCACCCAGGTTTGCCTGAAGAACTTGGGAGAATTTCTCCAGGGAGAGGGCTACCCCACACAGGCCGGACAGGGAATAGGGCAAGGGATGAGGAGAGCAGATGAGTCCTGGATAGGCCCTAAGGGAAACACCAGAGTCTAAAATGAATCCTTGGGATCCCACATCTGATATGGACACCTCTTGCTCCAATAGGCATGACCCGCTTGTAATATTGCCATTCTGAGACCCCCCCCTCCCCAGGTCATGTTATATGAGCTGCAGGGGCAAGGCCACTTACTGCGGTGGCTGGGCTCCTTGGCATGGGGCCCAGGCTTAGCAGGGGCCTGTGTCCCCGAGCCTGTGGCCTGACGCCGGTTCTGCACGGCCTGGTAGAGGCCCAGGGCACGGCGTTTGGCCTTGCGAAGGATGTGACAGACATACTGGAAGATCTCCTCATAGCAATCGCCAGGCTCGGCGTAACTGGCCACCGTGCTGGAGGACAGGTAGCGCTGGCGCTGCTCCAGCATCAGCCGGTGCTCCCGTTGCTTGGTCTCCGAGAACTGGGTCGCTATGACAACGAGGCACAGGTTGATCATGAAGAAGGAGCCCACCTGTGACCAACAGGAGGAAAGGACAGGAACAGGGGGCAGAGGGAACAGTGGGGCCAAGGAAGTAAAGAGAGGAGTAGAGCCAGCAAGAGGGCACAGGAAAAGGGGACAGAGATAGAGAATGGGTTAGCAAGAGCAGGAGACAGAGAAGGAAGCCAGAGACAGCAAAAATGGGGAAGGGGGGAGCGAACAGACCAGAGGCACAGAAGAGAGGACAGAATACACAGCAGAGAGACAGCAAGACAGGGACAGCCAGAGCACAGAGAGTCAAAGACAGAAAGGGGGAAAGAATGGGAGGGAGAGAGGAGAAGAGAGAGAAAAGAAAGGAGATGGGGAGAAGGGGGGAAGACAGCGAGAGGGAGGAAGGGAGAGAGAAGCAGCATGGGGGCACATGGAGAAGGCAGAGTTGGTGGAAACAGACAGACAGAGGTTCAGGGAAGATGGAGGGGCCCAGAGAGACAGAAACACAGACACAGATGGGACAGGAAAAGATCACTGAGTCCTTGCAGGGGAAGGCACAGCCTAGGTGACTTCCCAGATCAGACTAGGACTGCATCCAAGCCCAGGCCCCATCAGGACCAAGGCCTGGCCTCCCTATCCACCCATGTAGGACAGAGATGCTGAAGCCAAGAGGAAAGACACAATCCTTCAAGTCACTGAAGCTCCTGAGTCCTGCTCACTGGCATGGACTTCGGCTGCGTGCTGGAGGGGGGAGATGGAGCCGGGTAGCCCTACTGTATCCCATCTAACTATTCTGGTACCAGCCATCTCCCCTGGTACTCACTAACCCTGAATGAGCACCTCTGGCCTGGCAGGAGAGATGTGGCCTCCAGCCTCCTGGGACATCACCCACAGGTACATGCAGATGGCTGCCCCAGTCACTGGCTTATCCTTCTTTCCTCTCCCTGTTACACACAACTGGAAGGGCTAAAGGCGAAGAGGACTTCCTGGCCCAGAGGACTCTGGAAAACAGACTGCCTCTTAGACAAAGAGATGGCCAGCAGTCCTCTGCTCCATCGTCTTCTCCATAGCATTTCCCAGAGAGCTGCATTGCCATGCCTGGACTGGTTAGGGACACAGGAACCAGAGAGATTACACTCTGCCCCCTGTATGGTCACCACCTAGCCTTTGCCCAGCAGTGGTTGCCATGGGTGACCCAGGCATCCCTCGTCCTCTCTGAAACTGGAGCAAAGTGGGGACAGGACTTTCCTAACCAGAGGAGTGCTGGGAGCTGTGTGTGAAGATGGAAGACCCCCCATCAGCCTGCAGATGGTACCCTCTGTCCAGAGACAGGACACTTGAGACTCAAGCAACCCCAATAACATCAGGGCATATTTACTGATCAGTTACTGGATACCAAGGGTATACAGGCTCCCAGCCGCGTCCCAGCTAACCCTCCCCATCACCTGGGTACTGTGTTGTCACTGTCCCGTCTCACAGAGTCCGTGAGTAGCCTGCCTCAAATCATACCATGAGTCAATGGCTTCCTGTGGCAGAGGATTGAGCACCTGCATCCCTCCAGCCTTATGGGCATCTATCATGATACCTAAGGCTCTATATGTCATTGTCACCTGTCAGCCCTTCCTTCCCAGACTATGAGCTCCTTGGAGTGGGGCAGGGCCTGGATCCCTGCTCTGTCCCTAGAACTCAGCCCATCTTTCCGGGATGTTCTGTTGAAAATTTTCTGAATAGCCAGTGAAGCAGAATGAAATCCTGGCCCTTCTTTCTTTCCTCCACGATCTCTCCTGAGTCCAAGGCCCCAGGGTCCCCAGGAAACCACTGGAGTTACATCACAGCAGGTGTGTCTCTGGTCAGCAGCCAGTCTCTCCAAACTCCTCAGTCAAGGTGTTCCTCATTGGGAGCCAAGCTTGCCTTCCCCCACCACCAGTAAGCTGCAGAACTCAGCCTTCATGCTGGGGAGCGAATACAGCTCTCCCAGAGGCCTGGCCTCCGCGGATTATGCTAAGGGAGAAGCCACAGGCAGGCAGGACAAGGTGGACATTGGAAAGCAGGGACAGGAAGTGCTAACCTAGAAGGGCGGAGAGACCCCTGCCTCCATCACCTGGCCACAGACAGAGCTGCAGAGAATCCAGAGTTCAAAGACTTTCCCAGAGCTCCACCAAAGCCAACCTCCCACCCTATGTCTTGCCTAGGAACGAGGTCCATGCCATCAGTCAAAGCATCTTGACTTCCCCAGGAAAAATGGGGACCAGATGGTACCCCTGGGAAGCTCCATTTTGGAACTATACCCCTGGCTAAAGCCCTGGAAGAAGATAGGGGCAGAGAAAGACAAGCAGAATCAATGGGGCAGAAGTTAATGTAGAGAGATGAGAAGTGAAGGCGAGGGGAAGTGATGAATGCTCCCAGCCACAGCCCTGATGAGTCCCTTCAATCACCGGCTGCTTGGCTGCATTTAAAATATTCCCTCCTTGGAGACGGATTGCCGACGCCTCTGGCTGCCTCCTGTCTCACCAGGCTCCCCTAGCCCACCCCTCCTCTCCCTCCCACCCAGACCTAGTGCTGTGGTACACGGTCCTGAACTTGCCCTGATACTTACTATGATGAGCAGGATGAAGTAGATGAAGTTGTAGAAAGAGTGTGCATCCATCACGTAGTACATGATCTCCACCCAGCCTTCCAGCGTGATCACCTGCAGCCAGCATGAGGAGAGGGCGGAGTCTAAGACACTGGGCCCTCCTGAGCACCCCAAGGGCTGGGGTAGGGGGCAGCATGGATACAGAAACCAAGGTTCAAAGAGACACTGGTGTTACAACATCACACTGCCAGGCAGGAGGGGAGCAGGGACTCCCACACGATGGAGAAGCAGAGAACCCTGCACTTAAAGCGCACTGACTTCTTCCGTACACTGACAGTAGAGCTCCCAGCGAGGCTGAGGTGTGACAGGTCAGCTGACTGCCATTCAGAGACTAGGAGCCACCTGGGGCTAAGCACTGGGGCCTCCCTGGCTCAGCCTTACCTTCGCTTGTGGCAAAGCATTGAGCAGCCTCCACCCTCTGGGCTGACCAACCAAGAGACCCAAAACACAGTGGCTGAGCATGAGTTCAGTTGCCGCCCGGCTCTGAATCTCTGTTATGACCCTTCCCAGAGCAGAGTGGGAGCCCCCTGCCCTCCTCTGCTCTCCTTCTCCTCTTCCTTCTGGAGACAGCGGAGCCTCACGGCACAGGGGCTGGCATCCCCACTCACGGCACTGACTACTTGTCAGGGACCCAAGGGAAGGGGTTTGTTAGCACAGTGCACCAAAATGAAGAGTACATTCAGTATGAATAGGAGAAGACCGAGGCAGAGACAACCCCCCCCAATGTCCTACAGCCCCTGTTTCCCAAACGAACCATGCCTAGTTCCCTCAAGAGTACAGAGATGGAGTTGGTACAGGAGCCACAATGGTCTGCACAATGGCTGCATGGGTGCAATGGCCCCAGGGTGAAAGCATCTTCTCTGCCAGCTAGTCATGCTCTGCCCAGGCCTGCCCCAGTTGTCACCGCTCTTGCAAAGACTTTCCTTAGCACGGTGGGCCTTGCTTTGGCTCAGCCCAGACCTTCCAACAGAGTCATGCCCTGCTTCTGCCCTCTGTGAACAGAACTCCCTGCTCTGACCCAACCCACTTGGGCATCTGTAAGGAACAAAGGTTTAGAGAGGAGCCCAAGTGGATAGAAATCTTGATTGGCTATTTAGCCACCGCAGACTCCTTGGCCAACAGGCATGGTTTCCTCCTTCAAACATTGAGTTTCCTGCCCGCAAAGTGAGCAGGATGAAGCCTAGCCCACCAGCATGTTGGACAGATCTCAAGGAGTGGATGACCAAGTCCAGCTCAAGACTTTACCTGCTGAGTAAGGCTGCCAGCCAGGTCACCCACTGCTGGCCGACCAGTCCGGGGCCTGAATGTTCTCACCTGGAAGATCACAATCCAGGCATAGCCGATGTTGTCAAAGTTGATGGCGCCCTTGTGCGGGTTGGCATTGCCCGTGCGGCAGACGTTGTAGTAGCGGTTCCAGTTGACGCAGAGGCCGCTGGCGTTCAGGTCTTGGCGCCCCGCCCCAAAGTCATACACATCATCTTTGGACAGGCAGCATTCTCGGCCCTGCTCCTTCAGTGGGGGAATCTCGTGACAGCCCATGATGCCGTTGTCCCCCGACAGGGAGCAGATAAAGGGCATCTCGTCATCCTCCTCGGGCTGGTAATAAGGGGGTAGGGCCACATCCCCTTGTCTGCCATAGAAAAAAAGCAATCAAAGAACGACAGGGGAGAGTCACTTCCAGGTGTACCAGGTAAAGAAAGGCCATGCTGTGGCAAGACTGATATAAGGCCCCATTACCGCCTCCGGGCTCAGGAACATGTAGTCCCTTCCTGAGACACTCTTTCTCACTTCTTTTTTTGTTTTGTTTTGGTTTTTTGTTTGTTTTTCGAGACAGGGTTTCTCTGTAGCTATGGAGCCTGTCCTGGAACTAGCTCTTGTAGACCAGGCTGGCCTCAAACTCACAGAGATCTGCCTGTCTCTGCCTCCCGAGTGCTAGGATTAAAGGTGTGCGCCACCACCACCCAGCCTCCCACTTCCGTTACAATCACAAAAGTCTCTATGGGTCTATTGTGATCCCTTTCCACGATTCTCTCCTCTGAGGAACCTTCCCCGGAGGATCCTCCCCTCCACAGAGCTAAGTCAGGGCTCCCTGAGCTACACAGTGGCCTGGAACAGATGCCACCCAGCTTCCTGGCTGGCCCAGGCCACCGTGTTTGGAAAGGACAGAGAAAGAACTCAGCTAGCAGCCACTACATTTTGCTGACCAGCAGATGAGGGAGTGTGTGGCCCTGGTCTGATCTCTTCCACCCCTGAGCCTGGATTAACTCATCTATGATACTTGGTCATAAGCTTGGCCCACCACACAATCACAAATGATATCCCATTGTGATCTTAACTATGGAACCCAGCTAGACGGTTCAAGGAAAAACCATCCAGACAGGGTTTCAAAGTAAAAAGGTAAGTGGAAACTGGAGGACTCTGAGACAAGTAATGAGTCTAATGTGCTGTTCTATAAAACAGGGGCCTTAGTGGAGACCACAACACCCAGAGACAGAGATGTGTCTTAAGGCAAACACAAAAGTCAGCACTCAGGAGGCTGAGGCAGGAGGATTATGAGTTGGGGGCTAGCCTAGGATAAGTGTTAAGTTCATGGTCAGCCTGAACTGAATGACAAGATGCTTTCTTTTCTTGATTGGCTGGTTGGTTGGCTGGTTGCTTGAGACAGGTCTCATGTAGCCCACGCTGTCCTTGAACTTTCTGTACAGCTAACAATGACTTTAAACTCTAGATCCTGTGATTTCTGCCTCCTGAGTGCTGAGATCATAGGTACATGTCAGTACACCTGTTTGGAAACGCTATGTCAAAAAAAATATTAATCTAATTTAATTAAAGACAAAAGGGAAGGAAGGAAGGAAGGAAGGAAGGAAGGAAGGAAGGAAGGAAGGAAGGAAGGAAGAAAGGAGAAAAAAACAATCAAGTTTAGGGTAGCAATGGCGCATGTCTTTAATCTCAGCACTCAGGAGGCAGAGGCAGGAGGATCTATGTAAGTTCAAGGCTGGTTGGTCAACATAGCAAGTTCCAGGACAGCCAAGGATACGGAGACACCCTGTCTAATAAAACAAAAGCGAAAACAAAAAAATAACAAACAGAAATAACACCAACATTGTCTCCTCTCATATGAATGGTCACCCCGAGGTTCTGTACCAAAGTGTGAAAAACGTAAACAGGCACTCACACCGTTGGTGAGAGCGTAAACTGCACCACCCCTGTGGAAGGCAATTCATCAACGTCCTTTAACAATCAAAATGTCACAACCAACCCCGCAAAGGTTCACGACCACCTGCTTCCAATACAAACATCACCTTATTCCCCTGCAGAATGGCCGGACCATGCCCCCACGTGGTTCTGGGAAGGCTGAATACGCATTAAACAAATCACCCTTGACGTCACCGCACCCATCATGCGCCACAAGCAAAATTCTTTGTGATAGAGTAGGCCAGACTGAAAGATGAAGCCAGAAATCTTTTGAGAATGTTTTTTTCTGAACTCAGGCTCTGAGATTAGTTCAATACATTAGAAAACTGAAGGGGATTGGGGGCCGAGTTTTTGCTGCTCAAAAACACCATTAGCAGACAGAGTTGAACAGCCGCTCCTTGGGACTCTTACCTATGAGTGTGTTCACTGCGTGAGCGAGCACACTGCTATTACTTATCCAACTGTCAATTTGGGTCATTTCTGGGTATGGGGCCCTTATGATTCAGAACTACTCTTGTCCACATGCTTGAGTGGGCACAAGTCATCTCTCTCTCTCTCTCTCTCTCTCTCTCTCTCTCTCTCTGTGTGTGTGTGTGTACGCACATGTACATGGGGGGGGGGGTATTTGTAAGCAAAGGTGACTGACTTCCTAAGGTCTTTCTGCCAAAGCATCATAAACACAGGAACTGCAGGTGTGAGCTACCACTCCCAGCTAACGCTCAATGGCTGTAATTTTCTTTTTTCTTTGTAGTGCTGAATGCTGAACCCTGGAGCCTCATGCATGCTAAGAGAATGCTCTGCCAGTAGAGCTACCCCATTGGCCCTATCCAGCAAGCCTTTCTTCTGAGTAAAGCCCCTGGGTACCACCTGGCAATCCAAGAGTGTGTTTAGCACTGGGTCTGTCCAGCCTTTCACAATGCATCCTGAAACCACCCTGATGATCCACCAAGAGCTCCCTGAACACAGCAGAACATCCATCGCTTGCTCTGTGTCTGTGGCAATAATGGTCCTTCTCATTTAAACCATCCTGGTGGGGTACTGTGGTACCTCGCTGTCATTTCAATTACAACCCCCTTAAGACCTGGAAGGAGAAGGGCCTCTCCAACTACTCATCCGCCACTCCTGCAGCCCCTTGAGAGGTCTCTGGTAAGGTCTTTTGGGCCATTTTTAATTGGATCCTCTTTGCTTTCTTAGCGGCGTATAGTCATTCTTTTTATGTCCTGGATTTGAGTTCTCTGGTGGATGTGTGTATAGCAAAGTTTTTGCTTCAGTCTGTTCTTTTTTTGGATTTAATCACTCCTGCAAACCGAAAGACATCTTAAAGTCACAATTCTTCAAGGTTTCCAGTTCACTGTGGACATCAACCCAGACGGGAGGTGGTGTCCCTGGCTCTACAAGTGATGGATGGAGAGACTCGGGAGATCTAGGACTCGGGGATCAGTGCAGCTAGCATTGAGGAGTGATGAGCTCACCCCCATCTGTAGGTGATGACCACTTGCCATTACTGAAGACCCTCCTGTCAGTCTTCCCCCTGGTGCTCTTCTGCCAGCCCTACTCCATGAATTCAGAAACCCCAGGGCAGTTGTGCCAGAGGCCAGCCTACACCCAGATACCAGTTCAGATAACCAGTCAATAGCATGGACAGCCCAGCCCCGATCCCACACTTGCCCACCCCCAGCCCTCCTTCCTCTGTGGCGTGGCTGAGCCCCTCTCCTGGGGTTCTCAGGGCTCTGCTGCTGCCAGCCTTAGCTCGCCAAGCGCTTGCTTTGCATAAGGACCTGAGTTCAGATCCCCACCGCCTTCATATAAACCAGTCATGGTGATTTGTGCCTATAACCCCAGTGCCAGGGAGGTTACACGTGAGGGTCCCAGAGTCTGCGGGCCAGCTCATCCGGCCAAATCAATCGATTCTAGTTTCAGTGAGAGACTCTGTCTCAAAATAAAATAGAATAAGGTGGAGCACAATCAAGGAGACCCCCAAACATTGGCCTCTGGCCTCTACACATGTGTACACATGTGTGTACTGGCCATAAACACGTTCCCACAAGCCAGCAGATAAGGATAATCTGCTTTTCGCACAGGATGTTGGAAGAAAACCGAACTGGTCCTGATGAGCACAGTGTCCAGTGTGTACCAAGAAACCCATGAACACCAGCTGTCTTTCTCCAAGACCAGATCCGGGCCCATCCTGTCACTCAGTGCTCATTTAGTTAGGGCTGCCATCCATATCTGTGGCACCAGACTGAGGTGAGCTCACACACCCAGGATTGCAGGTGCCATTCCCAATAAATAAACAGTCATGCACACGCACACGTGTGTGTGTGTGTGCGCGCATACACACAGAACTTCCCAGGCTGGAGGAACACACATGACGTCATACATGGCTCACTCCTACTCAGTGCTTTGTGAGGTCAGACACCATCCTAGCATTCCACATTTTCTAATTTGAGGCATTCCCAAAACAACTCTGCGGTAGAGACACTGAGGTACGAAGTTGCCGAAGCCACATGGCTAGCAGGTGGCAGAAGCAGAATTTGACCCTGAAGTCCTGACTCCATTGCTTCAGTCCCCACCTGCACAGCAGTGATGGAAGGCTCTGTCACACCCTTGGCCTTGCTCTCTTCCCAAGCCTGAAGTACGGTCAGCCTCTACCAGTGAGGCCTGTAAGTCAAGGCCCCCTGTCCTGAGAGCATGAGCTCTCAGAGCTCAGGAGAGTCCCCCAGCCTTGCCCTATGGTCCCCTCGCTCCACTCATATTTGGAACTCCTCTTCCAGATGGACCAGCTACACACTGGGCCCCTTAACACTGAGGCCCAGGCACGTCCACAGCTCTGTGCCCCCATCTTCCCCCATCTTAGCCAAAGCAGGGCTGAAGCCACTTCTCAGGGTCTGGACAGGACAAGGAAACAGCCAACCTCCAACCAGCACATAGACTCTCCTGCTGCAAAGCCAAGGAGAACCAGCCTTCTTCCCAGCCCGCCGCTGTGCAGTGTTCGCATTCACTCATTCACCCTCCATCCATCCATTCATTCATTCGCGATCTCATTCATGCTATCATCTAATTAGTCCCTCATTCATTCATAGTGAAGAAATTAGGCCTCTGTTCCAGGTCCTGAGAAAACAGTGAGGACCAACGATTCCTGGTCTTGGGGAGAACTCACATCCGAGGGTCCCCCCAAGACCAAGTATGCAACTGCTCCAGAGACTTCCCAAATCCTCAAGCTGACAAATGGGACCATTGCAAGAGAAGATCAGCCAACACGGAAGCTTAGCAGAGAGTGTGTCCACTGCTTGGGGAAGAGAAAGTGATCCTCCGGCAGAAGGTGACATGAAGGCTGAGCATGTCTGTGACATGACAGGGCCAGTCACAGAATGCTGTAAAAGATCCACATGGGACAGGACGGGGCATGGATGTGCTACCAACACTCAACGCCAAGAGGTCACACACATGCTACTCTGTGAAGGCCTTCCCCGCTTCCTGCCCCTGACTACTGGTCTCTGTTGAGCGCTCACAGAAGTGGAAAAGGCCCTCTTCCACTATCCATGGGGCCCTCACCCAGCAAGGTGTCCCTTCCCTGGCCTACCCAGGTACCCCACCATTCCCCACAGCACAGCAATGTCCCTACCCAACTTTTACCTCCCGTTACATCGCATTACACCTAACATTCCGAACCCTGAAAAGGGAGACTGATCCCAACTTAGGCAGTGTCCCTACACCACACATCCAGAAGAGCCTGAGCAACCAAACCCTAGCCTGATGCTCCCCATGGGTGCCCTAGCTCAACTAAGGGCAGACCCTGGGTACATCTGCCAGGATAAAACAGACATGGTTGCTATTTCATTTCAGCCTCCCTGGAGCCTGGCACACAGCAGCAGCCCAATGGCTTGTGGAAAGCTTTCTTCCAATCACATAGGGCGTGCACATGCACTGGGTAGCCCTCATCACTTAGAAAGAAGGGATTCTAAAGACATCGCTTTCAGAAATTAAACCTGTCTTTTAAGCAGATATTGACATTCTGCCTTGGGGGTACCTGGCTCCCACTCTGGACCCAGCAGCAGGTTGTGAGTTGATCCTGTGGTGGCACACAACACACACACAACACACAACACACACACAACACTCACACAACACACACGCACAACACACACATACACACACACAACACACACACCTCCTTGGGTTCTGGGCTCTGAAACTTTCTATCCTTTTCAATATTCAGGCCTCCCTCTCTCTTCCTATCCAGCCTTCCCAAACTGGCCATTCCTATTTTGCTGGCCTGATTCTCAGTTAGCAAATGAGTTAGTAAGAGGTGGGTCAGAGTCAACAGGAGTAGAGCAGGTTGGGGATGAGGGTAGAAGTGGGGGGTGCTGGCTAGTTTTTTATAGCACCTTGACACAAGCTAGGGTCTTCTGAGAAGAGGGAATCTTAATGAGAAAATGTTTCCATCGGATTGGCTTGTCGGCAGATCTGTAGGACGTTTTCTACTGATGACTGATGTGGGAGGACTCTGTGGGAGGACTCAGTGTGGAGCCTACCACTCCCGGGCTGGCGGTACTGAATTCTATTAGAAAGCAGGCTGAGCAAGCCATGAGGAGCAAGCCAGTAAGCGGCAGCCCTCCATAGCCTCTGCATCAGCTCCTGCCAAAGGTACCTACTTCCTGTCCTGACTTCCCTGGATGATGGACTACGAGCTGTAAGATGAGACAAACCCTTTCCCCTCCAAGGCGCTTCTGGTTTCAGTGTCTGATCACCGCAGTAAGAAGCATAATTCAGACAGGGTAGGGAACTCACATGGTGAAGTTCTCCTCCAGGAAGCAGCGGTTCCGCAGCAAGCCTGCCCACAGCTGCACGCCAATGATGCCGAAGATGAAGAAGACGAAGAAACAGAGCAGGAGCACATTTCCCAGCATGGGCAGCGTGTCGAGCAGGAGGTTCACCAGGATCCGCATGCCTGGGAGAGGAACGGCAGAGAAGGAGGCATCAGAGAAGCCAAGAGAACAGGTGAAAAAGCTGAGGGGTGTTTGGAGGAGAGATGGAGTCTCCTGCTCCTGATGGGATGACCGGAGGACCTCACTCGTCCATATCTGCCCCAGCACCCACAAAGTCAGGAAAATGGCTCTGGGCCCTGACGCACTTCCATGAGATCCTGGGTGAAGCAGCAGACATTTATGGAGCCCTCTTTCAGGTGACGAGTGCTGTCGTGGGGCTGTGCACAAGAGCACGTTTAGCACAGTTAGAGCACATGGAGAGTCTGTTCAGGCTCTCCTTCAGCCTTCACAGTAACCGCTTGAGGCTGGCAATAGTGTTTCTGCTTCGTACAGGAGGTTCAAAGAACCCGCTGGAGACCCATTGCTAAGAAACAGAAGGATGTGAATTCAAGCTGTTGCCCGATACTGAGTCTAGCCCTCCTCCTATGACCAATCCTCTCACCTCTACTGATGGCTCTTCTTGAAGTACCCTATCAAACACCTATTCATCCACCATAGCCAGCCCTGAGACATCTCATTCTGCAAAGCTGTCCAGACCTTTTCTCGCCCAACCCTCTACTCCCCTGCTCCAGGCAATCTCCGCAGCTCCTAGCCTAGGCTGCCTTGTACAGTTAAGTTTGTATGCTACACAACCCTGAGAGGGCTTATTTGAATCAACATTTGACCCTAAGGAATATTTATCTGTCTGCCTTCCTGTCCTGTCTACTAGGCTGTAAATTCCTGGGGACAGGGTCTGTGTCTGAATCGCCTCAGTGTTCCCAGAAGCCATCGGGGCCTAACCCACAAGATAAGCGTCATCAATGTCTGTTGGATGCCTGCTCGTGAACAGGACTGGAAAAGAGAGGAAGGCTGGAGGGGGAGGGGTAATGACGACAAGTAGGAGAGCTGGTCCTGTTGGATTGTGATTTACCCCAGTGTGATGCTGAGGTGGTTATTAATGAGGATAATTATCGTGGATTTGCATCACGCACTCAGCGTGGAGGGATTTCCAATCAATAATTAATGTCCACCCCCATCTTTCCTCCCCTCAAATCTAGGTCAGAGTCCACTCAGGAAAAGCAACGGGGCTCCCTGGCAGGCTGCATCATCCAGCTGAGAACAGTCAGGGCCAAGGCTCAGCACCCCATTGCCTTACATCCACCCCCTAACATGGGAACAAGGGGTACATACTAGGGGAGACAAAAAAAAAAAACAGGTTACCGCAGGCTCCCCAAAACAGACCAAAGGACTCTAGTCAGCCAACTTCAGGCCTTTCTGGGACTGCAATCATTCATCCATGCATGCATGCATGCAGGCATGCATTTATCAAGCAGTAGATTGTCACCGCAATGCTGAGAATTCCCCCTCAGAGCTCACAGCCCAGCAGCAGGGGTCAGGGACAGCAGTGTTGAGCAAAAGGACCACCGCCAAGGACACGTTTGTAGGGGGGATGCAGTAGGGCTGGGCCCTACAGGATGTGAAGAATCGGGGGGGGGGGGTTAGAGGAAGTATAGCTTGTGAACATGCAGAGCTGTCTGGAGACAGGCCTGGGGTTACTGTAGAGGCCTGGGCCACTGTCATCAGCAGATCTCGGAGCAGGCACAGCTCTTGAGTCGCCCTGGACTCTGGGAAATGAAGTCCTAGGGTCCACGCAGAGGCAGCTGATGGAGAGAAGGCTGGACCAGAACTACCCTGAGGAGGCCACAGGCTCCCCTCACTCCGCCACTCACTAGCACTACGCCAGCCTAACTACTCCTGGCTGCTCCCAAGGGTGGCCTTTGTTGCTCAATTAATTACATTTCCCTTGTTCTCCAGGATATTGAGATTCTGAGCTGCCGGTTCCGTTCCCTGACGAGCAGCCCTTTCCCTCCGTTCCCCTCTGCCCAGGGGCCCAGCTTCCCTCCCAGGGCTCTCCAGGGCCTGGGGAGTCCCAGGGCTACAGAGGCAAGGTGTAATTAGGTAATTATGGATTTAGCACAAATTGAATTCATCCATGGCTGCCCAGGGAATTGAGACTACAGGATTAGGAGCCAGGCAAGGCCCTGAGGAGCCTGGATAAGCCTTCCTTTACACACTCGGTGTAGTAAGTAGCCAAGACTAGCAGGACACTGATGCTCTTCCTCCAGTGCCCTAGTGCCAGGCACATGAAAAAGAAGAGGTGGGAAGAAGCGAAAACAGAGACATAAACAGGAAAGCAGAAAGAAATGAAGACAGAGAAGGGGGACCTGGGTAAGAAGACATGGGAAAGGGGGGCTGAGGGAAGGGTAGGTGCATGGGACTTCTCTCTCTCGACATGCTTTCTCCTCCTCCAGGCAGCCTTCCTGGGTTCTCGCCATACCTGGTCAAAAGTGCCCATCCTCTAGCATTGCTGCCCCCTCCCAATCCCAATCTCCCTCTCTTAGGCTGGGCTTACTTTGGGTGCGATCAGCCTGGATCAGGAGCCAAGTGGCCCTTGATGGAGACATTGGCCCCAAGAGTGTAGCTAAGGACCTGTTCCCCCGTCAGTAAGAGACAGAGGATACAGGACATCTGATGTAGATCATCCCTGGTGGCACCCAGCACAGACCGGATGAAGAGTGAAGTTCTAGTCCCAGCTGGGTGTTTGCCTCTGGGGCCACAGTGGCTGTAGGAGCCTCATTTATAGGCAGGCGGTCCCATGTGTGCACATATATTTGATCTGAGAGCTTGTATATATACATACATACACACACACACACACACACACACACACACAGAGGCGCACGCGCACACGAAAAGAGGCACACACATCTTCTACAGCTCAGCCCACAGCCCATTCCAAACGTTCCTATGAGGATGGCTGTGGGTTCACTCCTGGAAGCAGGCCTGGCCCATGCCACCACAGACCCCATTTTCCTGCTTCCCTCCTGACCAGCACATACTCAGAAGGGCATCTCACTCCTCTGGTTCTCTCTGTCCTGGGAATGGGCTGATACCTGACTTGAGCCCACTCCTCCTCCGTCAAAACGCGTACCACCCTGAATGACTTCTCTAGGCTCAGTCCTCCTCTGCTCTGGATCTAGCTTGGGGACCCAGGCAAGTCTGCATGCAAGGCCCACATTCCCCAGTCCTGCCCGGATCCTGCCCAGAGCAACAGCCCCTCCCGGAGACAACAGGGCAAAGGATGAAAGACTAATAATGGTGGGGGCTGGACAGATGACTCAGCAGTTAAGGACACTGACTGCTTTTCCAGAGGACCCGGAACCCACATACGAGGTCAGAACCATCTGAAACTCCAGTTCCACGGGATCTGATGTCCACTCTGGCCTTTCTGGGCATCCGGCACACACACAGTGCACAGACATACATGCAAACAAAAGACCCATACGGACAAAAGTAAATAGATATTTAATGAAAGAGTGATAGGTAAACAGATGTTCCCCCTCCACAGCTACTACACAAGAAGCCTGCCACCACCATACACTGCTCTGGGCCCCATGGACTCATCAGCTTTAAAAAAAAAATCAAAATAGATGAGGTTGGATTGGTGAAAAATATTTGTAATTCCTCTGCCTAGGGTGACTGAGGGGAAGAACAGTGCCTCAAATTTTAGGCCGGCCTGAGCTACAGAGGAAAACCCTATCTCAAAAGTTAATTAACTAAGCCAGGTGGTGGTGGTGCATGCTTTTAATCCCAGCACTCGGGAGGCAGAGGCAGGCGGATCTCCGTGAGTTCAAGGCCAGGCTGGTCTACAAGAGCTAGTTCCAGGACAGGCTCCAAAGCTACAGAAAAACCCTGTCTTGAAACCTCACCCCCCCCAAAAAAAAGTTAATTAACTAATTAATTAAAATAAAATAATTAAATTTTTAAAAAGACAAAGCTCCCTGTGTAATGTTCTGCTCTGTTCCTTTAAGAGACAAGCCACGCCCACTTCCTCCCTGCCTCGCCCCCCCCCCAGTCCTCCCCAGCCCACCACTGGGCTCAGGAGAGAAGGGTCTGGTCCAGGAGTGTGACATAAGTAGCTTCAGGATAGATGGTCTAGATGGCATCAAAACTGGTACCATAGTGGCAGGTTCCAGGCAGGGAAATGACTGTAACAGCTCCACCCCAACCCTAAGAGATGGAGACCCCTGGAGCAGGTCCTCCACTGCAAGAGAATCTGGAAGGTCCCTTGGTGGCCACGGACGAGATGGCAAGAGGGAGGCTCACTTCCTAGCCGGCATCTCCTCTCCAGGCCCAAGGTGCTCCACAGACAGGGGCTGTCAGGCCAGATTAGCTCGGCCACTCTGCCAGGCCAGTTCAAGCAGAAATCACAGGACATGTGCCAGCCTCAGCCAGGGGCACACCCCATTGCCGGGGTGGGGGGACAGCAGAGGGAGAAAGGTGTGCCACGGCTGGGGCCCGGCCCCCAAGGTTGCATACTTTCTGATCTGGCCAGGTTGGCCGAGAGCACCGAGCAGCCAGGAGAGGAAGGTGCTGAGCGCAAGGAGAAGCCGTCTGCTGCCCTGCCACTGCCAAGCCAACTAATCAGAGGCACAACGGGGGCTAGGAGGCCGGGCCAGGCAGCAGACGGTCGGACTGCCAGGGTCACAATTGCTGGCACCAGCCCGGCCGGGAAGGGGCCTGCAGGTTGAAGGCAGACACCAAGTCACAGAGCACCCCGCCTTCTTCATCCCACAGGCCCCAAGGCCCTCCCCCAGAGCAGCGTGTGCCCACCCACAGTGTCCCAAACAACCCTCATCATTCTGAGGTCCCATCACCCTTCCTCTGTGAGTCTCCTTAGCCCTGACCCTGGGCCCTGGCCCAGCGCCTGGGGCTCAGGTGTCAGTCAGCAATGCGGGGGTTATGCACGAATCTTTGCTTTAAGCCTGTACCTAGCTCGAAGCCTGGTGTAGCGACCCCAGGCAATCGTACTTCAGATAAAGAGCAGTCAAGAGGCCAATACACTGACCTATTCTTACTGCCTGTGTCCTACCCAACCTTCTTCAGGATTCCTAGAGTGCGACTCAGCCCTTGACCCTGAACT